CACAATAAGGCATTTAGAAAATAAATAAATGGTAGAAGTAAGTTCATCTTTATTAGTATTTACTTTAAATATAGAAGGTTTAAGCTCTCCAATCAAGAGACAGAGATTGGCTGGATGGATAAAAACAAGACAAAAATAGTTCAGTTTTGTACTGTGTACAAGAGACTGTAGATTCAAAAACACAAAGAAATTGAAAGTGAAATTATTGAAAAAATAATTCCATGTAAAAACAACCAAGAGAATGCTTGGGGAGGGGGCTATATCAGAGAAACTTTAAACCAAAAAAAGATTATAGGAGACAAAGAAATACTTTATATATTAATGAAAGTTTTGATAGAACATGAAGATATAACAATTATAAACATTCACACATCTGATAACAGCAGCATGAATATAAGATCCTCAAAATATAAGAAGCAAAATTGATATAGTGGAAAAATAGATAGTTCTACAAGAATATTTGGAGGCTTCAATACCTTACTTTCAAAAAGGGTAGAATGACCACACAGATGATAAGTAAAGAAACAGAGGGATAACTAACACAGTAAACCAATTAGACTTGACAGACATACACTGAACACTCCAACCAACAAAAGCAAAAAGCACATTCATTCATCTTAAGTGCATGCAGGACATTCTTCAGGAGAGACTACATATTATGCCACAAAACAAGTTTCAATAGATTTGAAAGATACCATGCAAAATATCTTTTCTGGCCATACCTGGATAAAAATAGAAACTAATAATACAAGGAAAGCTGAAAAATTGACAAATATGTGGAAATTAAACAGCATATTCTTAAACAACCAGCAAGCCAAAAAAGAAATAAAAAAAAGAATTTAGAAAATACTTTGATATTGAAGAAAACAAAAATAGCATACTGAAACTTACGGCATGCAGCAAAGGCTTTGTTAAGAGGGAAATATATAGCTGTAAATGCCTATATTTGAAAAGAAGATCTCAAATCAGTACCCTAACTGTATATGGAATCAGGACAAGTAAAACAAACTAACCCAAAGCTAGAGGAAGGAAGAAAATAATAAATATTAGTGATAAAATAGAGAATAGAAAAACAATAGAGAGAATCATTGAAACCACATATTGGTTCTTTGAGAAGATCAACAAAATCAACAAACTTATGGCTGGATTGAAAAAAGTAAAGAAGATACAGCAAATAACTAAAATAAAAGATGAAAATGAGGAGGCACTCAGCTGGTTAAGCACCTGCCTTCACCTCAGGTCATGATCTCAGGGTCCTGGAATCGAGTCCCATGTCTGGGCTCCCTTCTCAACAAGGAGTCTTCTTGCCCATTTTCCTACCCTCTGCCCTGCTTCTGCACCTGCTCTCTCTCTCTCTCAAATAAATAAAAATAAAATCTGAAAAAAAAAATGGAAGTGAGGACATTGCTATATTATTACAGAGATTAAAATGATATAAAAATATTAAGAACAATAGTATGCCCATAAATTAGATATTCTACAAGAAATGAATAAATTACTTGAAGCACACAAAATATCTTCACTGACTCAAAAAGAAACATAAAAAAACCCCTCTTGGATCAGATAGATTAACTGGTGAATTCTATTAAAGATTTAAAGAAGAATTAATACCATTCATTCTCTTAACTCCTCCAAAAAATTGAAGAGAAGGGAAAATTTTTCAATTCATTCTATGAAGCTGACATTACCCTGATACTAAAGCTAGATAAAGACATTGCAAGAATAGAAAATTATCAATATCTGGGATCCCTGGGTGGCTCAGCGGTTTAGCGCCTGTCTTCGGCACAGGGAGTGATCCTGGAGTCCTGGGATCGAGTCCCACATCAGGCTCACTTCATGGGACCTGCTTCTCCCTTTGCCTGTGTCTCTGCATCTCTCTCTCTCTCTCTCTCTCTCTCTCTCTCTGTCTCTCATGAATAAATAAATAAAATATTTAAAAAGAAAAGAAAATTATTAATATCTCTTGTCAAACATTTTCAGCAAAACATCAGTAAGTCAAATGTAGCAATATATCAAAAGGATTATTCATCATGACCAAATGAGACTTATGCCACATGTATAAAGATGGTTCAATATGAAAAAAATCAATGTCACATTAATATAATGTAGGGGGAAAATCCACATGATCATCTCACTAGGAGAAGAAAAGGCATTTAACAAAATCCAATACCTATAAAAGATAAAAAAAAAGAAAACTCTCAGAAAATTAAGAATAGAGAGAAAATTCCTCAATGTGATAAATATACAACCAACGTAATACTAAATGGTGAATGACTGAAATGTTTCCCCCTAAAATCAAGATTCAGACAAGAATGCCTGATTTCACCACTGCTACACAACACGGTAGTGGGAGCTGTACATATTATTGCTAAACAAAAAGAAGTAAAAGTTATCCAAAATGGAAATAAATAGGTAAAGCTATCACTTTTCATAGATGCCATAATCCTATATAGGGAACATGACAAAGAAACAACAAGAAAGCTCAAATAAATTCAGCAAAGTACAACATACAAGACCAACACGTGATAATCAGTTTTGTTCCTGTATACCAGTCATTAGCATTCTGAAAAGAAAAGAAAATTCAGAAAACAATTCTATTTACAATACCATCTAAAATAATTAAATACTGAGGGATAAATATAACCAAGGAGATGAAAGATTTCTGTGCTAAAAGCTGTAAAATATTGCTGAAAATAATTAAAGTAGGTTTAAATAAATGGAAAGGCATCCTGTGTTCATCATAGGAACATCTGACATTGTTAAGATGCTAATACTACCCAAAGCTATCTACAGCTTAAATGCAATTCCTATTAAAATTCCAACAGCCTTTTTCTCAAAAATGGCAAAACCATTTCTCAAGTTCATGTGGAATTCCAGAGGGCCCAAAAGATCAAAAAAATATATCTTGAAAAAAGAAGAACGATGTTGAAAGAATCACACTTCCCAACTTTGAAATTTATTTTTTTTTAATTTTTATTTATTTATGATAGTCACATAGAATGAGAGAGAGAGAGGCAGAGACACAGGCAGAGGGAGAAGCAGGCTCCATGCACCGGGAGCCCGACGTGGGATTCGATCCCGGGTCTCCAAGATCGCGCCTTGGGCCAAAGGCAGGCGCCAAACCGCTGCGCCACCCAGGGATCCCCCCAGCTTTGAAATTTAATAAAAAACTATAGTAATTAAGAAAGTATAGTATTGACATAAAGGCAGATATATGGACCAATGTAGTCAAAATAAACTAATGTAAATAGACTAATGTGGTCCAGAAATAAACCCTCATATGTATGGTCAATTGATTTTTTTAAATTTATTTATTTTAGAGAGAGTGAGCAAGGAGCAAAGGGAGATGGAGAGAGAATTCCAAGCAGACTCTGCCCCAAGCACAGAGCTCAGTTCCAGTTCCACAACCCTGAGATCATGACCTGAGCCAAAATCAATAGCCGGATGCTCTATTGACTGTACTACACAGGCACCCTCAGAGATTAGAACAGATATTTCTATACCAGTGTTCCTAGCAGCATTATTCACAATAGCCAAAGAGTGAAAAAAAGCTGTCAACAGATGAATGACCAGGCAAAATGTGGAATATACACAAAACGGACTACTGTTTATCTATTATCTATAAAAAGAATGAAATTTTGATAAATAAATATGAATGAACCTGGAAAACATTATGTGTAGTCAAGTAAAACAGATACAGAAGAAAAAGTATTATATGATTCTACTTTTATGAATTATCTAGAATAATCAGTAAATAATGGAAAATAGATGTAGAGACATAAAATAGACTAGAAGTTACCAAGGGCTGGAAGGAGGAGGAAAGGGGAATTACGTTTATGGCACAGAGTTTGTATGGCGATGATGAAAAGTTTTAAGCATAGATAGTGGTGATGATTACACATCATTATGAATATATTTAATGCCACTGGATTGTATACTGAACAAATGGCTAAAATGACAGTATGTTATGAATATTTTACCATGATAAAAAAAAAGATTACTACTCTAAAGCTGCAGAAATTAAGACAGTGTGGAATATGTGGAAGGACAGATCTACAGATCAATGAGACAAAATAGTGTCCAAGAGAAAACTATAAATAAGAGGTCAATTGATTTTCAACCAAGATGCCAAGGGGGAAAACGTTGCATTTTCAACAAATAGCATTGGCATAGCTGGATATCTTCCTAGCAGGGGGTGCATGAACTTCTTACCTCACAGCTATATAATATGTAAAAGTTAACTTGAAATCTGTTACAGACATAACACAAAAGCTAAAACTGTGAGACCTCTACAAGAAAGTAGAGAAGAAAATATTTGCAATCTTGGTGTAGGCAAAGCTTTGTTAGAACACAAAAAAGACTAACCATAAAAGAAAATAAATCATAGATTGGACTTCAACAAGTTTTTTACTTGAAAGAAACTGTTAAGAAAATGGAAAGGCAAACAAAGGCTGGAAAAAAATAGCAATACACATCTCTTAAAAAAAAGAACTTATATTAAGAATCATTTAAAAAAGAATCATTTAAGTTTTTGTAATATTAATGCATAATAATGCAGTAACTGTTGGCTAATGGCGGTAACAGACACCTCCCCCCCCAAAAGATACCAAGGACAATAAACGCAAAAAAATCTCATTATCATTTGTCATCAAGGAGGTGAAAATTAAAATTACAATGAAATTCTACTATATGCCCACTAGAAGAGCAAAAGTATTGATACAGCTGGCACGTGCAAGTGAGGGTGGTTATATAGAGCAGACTGGCAGGGGGACGAGCTATGTCTGAACAGAGGTGACCGGATAGCAGAGAGGGCAGGAAAAAGAAGCGTAGTTATCTCAAAGGGTGGAGTGAACCATCATGTTAAAGTTCTCTCTTCCTGACCTCTCTCACTTTAGAAGCTGCAGTCAGCATCTGAGAATACTGCTCTGGCGACTAACAGGCCAGAGGGCTCCTTGCAGTGTCCCAGTGCGAACCCTTTCTTAGAACAACACTGAACGCACCTCATTGGAGTTTGTCCAGCACTTGCTTCTGAAGGAGACGATAGTCACAGCGATGCTGAGCTCTGCTATGCTGATGATCAGTAAGACTGACAAAATTCCCTGCAAATAATGAGGATAAATATATGGCATTTGGAATGAAAGCTCTATCATTTTAAAGATATAAGCCAAGGACTTCTTACACTGTAACTGTAACACCAACAAGGGGAAATAACACATTTTAGAAGCTCCCATAGCCGTCAGTGATTGGACAATTTTCATCTTACCTCTTTTTTATAAGCAGAGATAACAAACGTCAATGCTTATGGGGACCAGGCAACCATCCCAAATGAGTGGACCAGTTAGGAGGGGGAGATGATAGAGAATAAAGGTATTCCCAGAATGCATACATTACTCAGTTCTGAGCAATAGTTGTCATGTGGGAACGTGGGCCCCGTGACATATTTTCCTTTCCTATGGATGCAGGATGTGCATATTTTTAATGTGAAAATTTCTGGCTATTCATTCACCTGTGGGAACCAAATAGGACAAAATGCAGGCTGGATATAGCCCACAGACTGCAGTTTTGCCCACTGTGCCTTAATGTAATAGTTAGATCAAAAAGCAGTGTAAGAAATAGCACAATGTCTAGAAAGCTTGGGCGGGGGAGACGGGAAGATCTGGGTGCACTCAGGTCACACGTAACCTGGTCAAGCAACTGAGTCTGTCTGAACCTTGGTTTCCCTGCAACACATCCAGAAGCTTGGATATTCCATTTGTTAATAAAACCAAAATGACGTGTCTACCATAAAGTTGCCTCCTGGTCATTGTGAAACTTCTATCATAACAAGGAAGCAAACAGAGACAAATAAGTAGACAATTATTTACTTTGCTAAGTTGCATTAAGTGCTTTGAGAAAGTATTGGGAGCTACACACTACTGTAATGGGAGATCCAGACAGGCCAGCACCGGGAAAGGTAGAGGTGCAATCAGGAAGGATTCCCCAATGAAGTGAAGTTTAAACTAAGCTTCAAGAACAAGGAGGGGTTGTAATTGGGCAGGTGGAAAAGGGTAGGCACCAGACCGGGAACCGTTTGAAGCAAGAGACAGCTGGTCTGAAGGCCCTGGGCAGTGGGTATTTACCACATTAAGGAATTTGAGAAGGTGCCAGAAGTGTGGAGCGAGGAGGATAAAGACCTGAAACAATGTTGGAAAGGTAGACAAGATAGATGTTACAGGGTCTTGTACATCTTTGAAGATCTGAGTCTTAATTCTGTGTTTCACATGAAGCTATTGTGTAATGTGCTTAGATCTGCATTTTTGAATGATGGCTCTGGCAACAATGTAGACAGTGGATTAGCCTTTGAGACAGAGGTCCATTCAGGAGATGTTTAGAATCCACTGTTCTGGCTTAAAAATAAATAAATAAATAAATAAATAAATAAATAAATAAATAAATATAATAAATTTAAAAAAAAGCTTATTTGTGACACTGGAATTTCACCAAGGAATCATGAGTCATACACGTGGGGTCTCGGAACAGATCCTCCCTGATTTTGTATGTAAACACTAATCCTGCAGTTCTCATCTACACAGAGTCAAAAATCTGGAGATTTAACCCTGTCAGTATACAGTTTCTTCCTGATACGTACTAACATGTACAGCAGTGGTGATCTGTCCACTAGAAAAAAGAGTGAAGGATTATAATGTTGTATGTCTTGGCCCAATTAGGACAGGACTGTGTTCCTCTCATAGTTTTTCTGGCTTTGCTTAGTAACTTTTTTTGAGACTGATTCTGGAGTTTATCTCAGAACATATGAGAGTGTCCTTATGCTTGCTTTTATGGATCATTGTCAGGATCAAATAAGATCTTGTGTCCAGGAACTGGTAGCTCTTTTCTCTTTCCTTCTTTATTGGGAAAGACAGTTTCCTGTGATTCTCTTTCACTTCCATTCAAACAGGTCAAATCCCATTAAAGTTCAAGGACCAAAGGCTTCAAGATGTGGCTGACAGAAATAAAATGAAAGCCCAGGATTTACTTGGGGAAGTAAAGGGCAAGGCCTTTTGGAGGCATTGATATGTCAGCATAAAAGTGACAGCCACTGAATATTTACTCGATAAACACTAAAAATTACCCCTACAGTTGGGTTTCCTGGCTCATCTGCTGTGATGAATGAAATTGCTATATTGATATAAAATGACTTATGTTATAAAATAACAAAAATACTTTATGAAGTAGCTCAAACACCTTCTCCTACTATATTTTATTTTTAGTATTAATTGGGTAAACTTTTAGGGATCCCTGGGTGGCGCAGTGGTTTGGCGCCTGCCTTTGGCCCAGGGCGCGATCCTGGAGACCCGGGATCGAATCCCACGTCGGGTTCCCGGTGCATGGAGCCTGCTTCTTCCTCTGCCTGTGTCTCTGCCCTCTCTCTCTCTCTCACTGTGTGCCTATCATAAATAAATAAAAATTTTAAAAAAATGGGTAAACTTTTAAAAGAAAGATTTATTTATTTGAGAAAGAGAGAATGCATGCAAACAAGCATGGGAAGGGGCAGAGGGAGAGGGAGAAGCAGAACTCCCCACTGAGCAGGGAGCCTGTCTCAGGGCTTGATCCCAGAACCCTGAGATCATGACCTGAGCCCAAGGCAGCCAGTTAACTGACTGGGCCACCCAGGTGCCCCAATTGGGTAAACTTTTCAGACCATTTTGTTCTTTACTAATTCTGAAAAGGTAAAATTCAATCCAAATCCAGGTCAATACTACTAGTAATAGCTAGAACCTATTGACTGTTTACACTGTGCCAGGCAGTATTATTCTAATTTAAGTAACGCTCATGACAACCCAATGCAGGACATATTCTTATCATCTTCATTTTCCACACAAAGAAAACAGGTTCGGAGAGCTTACAAGATCAGGATCAGATCCTGCATCACAGTACACTTTCCAATAGTTCAAATGCTAACTAACTTCCGTTACAGGAATCAAAGTTAATGAATTGATGCATCATGATCCTAGTTCAAGTCAGATGGTATAGACTCACCGTACAGAGTAGGAGCACTTACATTGTAAAGAACTCTACCTATAACACAGATTCCTTCGAGGGAAGGCGTCTGGCAGTATTTGTGCTGATATCTGTAGCTGATAATGGTTAGAATAATCCCAGCCACTGCAACCAAGGAGCTGATAACATTCATGGCCGTGACACCTTGTCCCTAGAAAATAGTTTTAAAAATAATATTAAAATAAATAAAAATGAAATGACACCAAAAATAACCATGTAAGAAATTTGTAGTGCTTTTGTATTTCCAGATACCCCTCAGGGATGAATTACTCCATCAGGTCAGTATGCTTGAAAGGCATGGTAAGTTAAGTAGTGATTCACTGAAGTCAGAAGACAGACTAAGTTTTAGGATGAGCCAGTCAGCCAAGAAAGAGAATGAGTAGAGAAGAAGGAGTGCTCTATAGTTAGTGCTAAAAAAAATTTCATTTTATCCTGATGCACCATCTTTCATAATCTGCAAGCAAAATGGTATGTTAGGAAATATCTTCACCTTGTAATTAGACCCGAGTTTGAGTCCTAGTGAACTAGGACCTTGTGTAAGATAACTTAATCTCTTCAAATTTAAATTTCTACCTCAAAAAAAAAAAGAGAGAGAATAATGTCACCCAATTTTAGAGTAGTATCCATTTATTCATTTACTCTAATAAATTTTTAGTGTGCCCCAACTATGTGTCCAGGACTGCATAAGGCCCATGAGACACAAAGAGAGACACATGTCCTGCCTTCGTGTGACTTACATTCATTCCTCCAGGGATTCAAACAGTAGCCAACCACATCACCAACATATTTACTGATGGCAACAAATTTACACTGGGTTTTAATGATTTCCTTTTTTGATTGCAGTGTCCCAACATGGAAGGTATATAAAAAAGTCCAGATTGCCCCACCAAATTCCCTTCTCTTTCTCCCTACACACACACACACACACACACACACACACACACACACACACACGCTGGACTATCTTATTCATACCTCTCCCAGCACTGCTATCGCTTTTTTTTTTTAAGGAAAAACAACGAAAAACCTCATATTTCAAATCAGTAGATATTTACTAGATCTTGATTGTGTATGCCTGTTGTGAGGGCATGCAGTGATGCATTCACACAGCCTGTCCTATCCTGGAGCAGCTGTGGCTTAGGGCGGCAGGACTTGGAAGTATTCCTATGACTTAAGGGTTACCCCAAGCGCAGGCCTTTACAATAAATAGGCACTTTGGTGGAAAATGCACAGGATAGACAGATATTCTATCTCTATCAGTCCTCAGTCCTTTGCTCTTCTGGGCTCTGTTCTGGCTCCCATAGGACATTTAATGGACTAAAATTTCTAGATCCGCAATCCCCCAGTGTGTATTGTGCCTTATGGTTTACAGAGAATATGCCCAGTCTTTGTCTCATCTGACCCTCATTATGGTTTTGTGATGTAGGCAGATCACTTCCTATCCCCACAGTACAGCTGAGTAAGGTTCAGGGACGGAGTGATTGTAAGCAACCCTGCAGTTGGTGGAAGAGCTGAGAGGGAAGGCCAGATCTTCTGATGCCCGATTCAGTGTTTGTGCCTCCATAGTGATCTGCCTGCCTCTGTGTAGCTCTCACTGGGTCAGAGGTAGGTCCTTCGTTTATTCTTCCGCTCTGAAAGGAATTGATGTGGAGAGAAGAACAGGATTTGGGGCTTTATTTGCATTGTCTGTATTTATTTCTGCAGGTAGAGAGAGATGGGGACTTCTATCCCGTCAGAGCTGTCCTATGGTCTGTAGCTATCCCTAGAGGAAAATGGCAGAGGGCCATAAAAACATGGTTAAAATGGCTTCAAGAGAAGCCTTACATCTTCAGAGAGAAAAAAAAAGTTGTGAGAAAGAAGTACAAACTTTTAAGTATCTTTTATATGTAATATTTTTCTTAAAAGTTTGTCTTTATTTGTTTATTTGAGAGAGAGCAGAGTGAGAGTGACAGTGAGAGCACGAGGATGAATGGGGATGAGGGGCAGAGGAAGAGGGACGAGCTGACCACCTGCTATGCTGGGACCCTGATTGGGGCTTGATCCTGGGATCATGACCTGAACTCTAGGCAGATGCTTAACCGACTGAGCCGCTTGATGCCCCTATATGTAATATGTTACTAAATTTTCAGAATAACCCTTTGAAGTACTTTTCCCTTCAAGTTGACACAGCAATGAGTGATAGCCTTGATTCCAGCCCACAATGATCTGACATCAATGCCAGACTCTTTTCTTCAGACTTTGGGCAGGTCCCAAAGAAAATCTTCTGTAGGTGGGGGTGAGAGGCAGGGAGGTTACAGTGATCCTGAGATTGGTTTTGGTTAGAACAGGGTTTCTCAAACTTGGCACTACAGACATTTTGGGCTAGGTCACTTTTTTAAAGATTTTATGTAATTTACTTGAAAAAGAGAGAGCATACACACAAGCAGGCAGAGGGAGAGGGAGAAGCAGACTCCCCACTGAGCAGGGAGCCTGATGCGGGGCTCAATCCCAGGGTCCTGGGATCATGACCTGAGCTGAATGCAGATGCTTAACCAAGTGAGCCACCCAGACACCCTCAGATCATTATTTTTTGTTATGGGAGACTTTTCTAAGCACTTTAGGATGTTTAGAAACACTTCTACCCGCTAGATGACAATAGTAGCCTGCAACCTAGTTGTCCCACCTAAAAATATCTTCAGATACTGTCAGATATTTCTGGGGGAAGAGGCAAAATTATTCCCAGTTAAAAACCATTGAGTTAGAGGAATATAGAATGGTTTCCAACAAGAAACTCTTTCAGATTATTTGACCAGGGAAATGGGAACTAGTAGAAGGGTGAAGGTTAGTGGTGACATTGGCAAATAGGAATGACCGGAACTACAAAACTTGATGTTTAAGGATATTCCTGAGATCCTTTACTACTAAAGGTTTCATACACAAAGATGATGTAAAGTAAATAGATGATCTTAAATTACATAAAAGTCACAAAAGTAACTTACCATACATTTTGCCTTGTCATTGATTCCTGTGAGGTATCCTGTAATAACATACTGTTAAGAAGAAAAGAGATAAAAGTCAACAGGTGATGTGTTTTTGACTCCCTTACAATATAGTTTCCTTTGGAGGTTATATTGTAATCTGTATGTCTGCAAATCTCCTGGACCATGTAGTCTTTCCACCTGAGCATCAGGGAGGAAGAAGAGTAGGCACTGGCACCGATGCAAAATGAAATATTGTGCTCGGCATACTCAGCACTGAACAACAGGATCAGCTGAGAGAGGCAGGCCCCTCCTTACGGTCCAAAAGGTACCACTGAGATGTTTCTCCCAACTGGGCTCTAAATTGGAAGATAATTCTGGGCTCTGGGCCTGGTGGAGGGAAGGGAAGGGTGTTGGAGGTGTGGAAGGAGACTTTCTCAAGCAGAACACTCTAAAGGCTGATAAGAGGGCTTGTATCTAATATAATTATCTCAGCCACTTCTTTATCTGGGATATAGAGTCTAGTACAACTCAGGAAGATGAGAACTCTGTCACCCAAAGTGGAGTCCCTTACTTTTAATATTCTGGGCATAGAAACCTCTTTTGTAGGAATTGGTGTTGGACCTTGAGGACATCTGGATCTTGGTGTTCAGGGACCTCAAGGTGACAAGCAGAGATCAGAAAGTTACCTTTGATTTCTCCATTCACTTCATTGCCCACAATGGAACCCCACTGGATCAATTCTACCTCCAAATCACTCTCAAAGCTTTCTATCTCCACTGCCATTTCCATGCCTGGATTCTTGTAGCCTCCTCCCAACCAGCTGTCCCAGGTTTGCTGCTACCATCCTCGAATTCACTTACCACTCAGAAAAACCAATGATGTTTTAAAGATAACAGTCTTCAAATGTCACTCTCCTCTTTAAAGATTATTAGCAGGTTTTCTTTAATCTCATATTAAAATTCCATATTCTTGGGGTGCCTAGGTGGCTCAGGGGTTGAGCATCTGCATTTGACTCAGGGTGTGATCCCTGAGTCCTGGGGTCGAGTCCTTCATCGGGCTCCTGCAGAGACCCTTCTCCTCCCTCTGCCTGTGTCTCTGCTTCTCTCTCTCTCTCTCTCTCTCCTCTCTCGAATAAATAAATAAAATCTTAAAAAAATAAAAATTAAATAAAATTCCATATTGTTAATATGATTACAAAGGTCATGACCTATTTGCAGTCTACATTTTTGGTTTCATTTTGTACCACTGCCATAGGTCTTCTTTCTGTTGCTCTTTCCCACATCAAGCCTTTCACTTATGCTTTGCCTTTGTCAGGGCATGCTTTCCTTCCACTCCACCCATTGAACACCTATGTGCAAAGCACTTCCCTAATCTCCAAGCCAGGTGAATTCTTCCTTAAATATTCACAGGGCATCTAGAACTTCTCTCTTATTGAGTGCAAGTAAAATAACATATCTGTGGAGGGTTTTTTTGTTTTGTTTTGTTTTGTTTTTTACTTTTCCACTTCTAGCCTCCCTATTATATGACAAACCCCATCTATTTCTAAGAAGAGCAATTCATTACTTCCCTCAAAGAGAGCCTTGTTTGCCACTATGCTCAGTACCTGCAGCTCTACCAAAGACAGAGTACGGGCCTAGCAAATATCATTTTAGTGGAGAGTGGAGTTTTAAAGAGCGGTATGTGAGAATCTCACTAGAATTCATGCAAGTAGATCATACACAGTCACACTGGGGAAATTCTGTTGTGAAATGGGGAAGTGGGGCTTTGTCTTTTTGATTCTCTACAGTGCAGGATGTGTAGTATGAAAATTATAGTCATTATATTATTTATATTTGGAAAATGAAAACACTGCTAGTTGATTTTGAAATGCAGATTATAGAAAAGGTATGGCATATTTATATTTAACAAAAGAGATCTGGGTTTTTAATAGAGACAATAGCCTCATTTAGTTATTATTTCACTCATTTGTTCATTGAGTGATGAATTCATTTATATCTACTATACAGCAGGCATGATTCTAGCTTCTAAACAATTAAAACAGATAGTATTCTTACCATCCTGAGAGGGTATGTTCTGGTGGGGGAAGGTGTAATGAGTCTCCCCTTAAATATCGTAGTAGAAGATTAGGAACCAAAGCTGTGGGGATTGGATATAAATAACACTCTACTAAGAATTATATGTATGGCTCCATAATTAACTCGATGAGTGGCATTCATAAAATTGTCTCCGGGAATAATAAGGGGATGAAACCATAATAATCATCTTTATTTTTTAAATTTATTTATGATAGTCACACAGGGAGAGAGAGAGAGGCAGAGACACAGGCAGAGGGAGAAGCAGGCTCCATGCACCGGGAGCCTGACGTGGGATTCGATCCCGGGTCTCAGGATTGCGCCCTGGGCCAAAGGCAGGCGCTAAACCGCTGTGCCACCCAGGGATCCCAATAGTCATCTTTAGAATTCTTCTTAAGTTATGAGAGTCTATGATTCTATGAATGTTAGCTAGATATGTGTAAGGTATTATCTATTCTTGAGATTAAACTACATGATACTAAACAACCAATGAGTCAATGAGGCAATCAAAGAAGATATTAAAAAAAACATGTAGACAAATGAAAATGAAAACACATTGGTCCAAAATCTTTGGGATGCAGTGAAAGCAGTTCTAAGAGGGAAATAATATAGTGATACAGGCCTACTTCAAGAAGAAAAAACTCAAATAATTTAACCTTACATATAAAGGAACTAGAAAAAGAAAGAACAAACAAAGCCCAAGGTGAGTAGAGGAAGGAAATAATAAAAAGCATCGTACAAATAAATAGCATAGAGACTTTAAAAAATATAAAGAAAATCAGTAAAACCAAGAACTGGTTCTTTGTACAGATAAACAAAACTGATAAACAGCCAGATTTATCAAGAAAAAAAAAAAAAGGAAAAGGACCCAAATAAATAAAATCAGAAATGAGAGAGGGGAAGTAACAACTGACACCACAGAAATACAAAGGATTATAAGAGAATATCATGAAAATTTTATGCCAAATAATTGGACTACGTATAAGAAATGAATAAATTCCTAAAAACATCCAATCTTACAAAACAGAATTAGGAAGAAATAGAAAATCTGAACAGTCTGCTTACCAGTAACGAAACTGAATCAGTAATAAAAAATATTCTACTGCGGTGCCTGAGTGGCTCAGTTAGTTAAGCACCTGACTCTTGATTTTGGCTCAGGTCATGATCTCAGGTGAGACTGAGCCCCAGATTAGGCTCCGCAGTGTGTGTGGAGCCTGCTTAAAATTCTCTCTCTCCCTCTGCCCCTCCCCACATGTGCTTGTCCTCTGTCACAGAAACAAAAACAAAAACAAAAACAATCTATTCAAAAAGTGAAAGTCCAAGACCAGAAGGATTCACAGGTGAAATCTACCAAACATTTAAATAGGTTAACATCTCTTTTTCTCAAAATATTCCAAAGAATAGAAGAGGAAATAAAGCTTCTAAAGATATTCTATAAGGCCAGAATTATCCTGACACCAAAACCAGAGAAAGACACCACAAAAAAGGAAGACTACAGGCCAATATCCCTGATGAATATACTCAAAAATCCTCAACAAAACATTAGAAAGCTACATTCAACAATAACATTAAAAAGATAATTCACCATGATCAAGTGAGATTTATTGCAAGGGTGGTTCAATATTTGCAAATCAACATGATACACCACATCAACAAAAAGAATGATAAAAATTATATGATCAATTTGATAAATGCAGAAAAAGCATTTGATAAAATTCAATATCCATTCATGATAAAAACATTCAACAAAGTGGGTTTAGAAGAACAAGCCAGAATATAATAAAGGCCATGTATGAAAAATCCATAACTAACATCATACTTAATGGTGAAAAACTGAGAACTTCTCTGCTAAGATCAGGAACAAGACAAGGATGTCCACTCTCACCACTTTTATTCAACATATTACTGGAAGTCCTAGCCACAGCAATCAGACAAGAAAAAGAAATAAGAGGCAACACTATTGCTAAAGAAGTCACTATTTGCAGATGACATGATATTATGCATAGAAAAATCCTAAAGACTCTAACAAAACACTACTAGATATAATAAATGAATTCAGTAAAGTTGCAGGATACAAAATTAATACCAAGAAGTCAGTAGTGTTTCTATATACGAATACCAAAGTAGCAGAAAGAAAAGGAGACAACTCTATTTACAGTTGTACCAAAATGAATCAAATACCTAGAAATAAACTTAAGCAGGGAGGTGAAAGACGTGTACTCTGAAAACTATGAAACATAGCTGAAAGAAATTTAAGATGACACAATAAATGGAAAGATAATTCCCATGTTCATGGATTGGAAGAATTAATATTGCTAAAATGTTAATACTACCCAAAGCAATCTACAGATTCAATGCAATCTCTATCAAAATGTCAGCAGAATTTTTCACAGACCTAGAGCAAGTAGTACAGGAGTACTAAATTTGTATGGAACTACAAAAGACTCCGAGTAGCCAAATCAATCTTGAGAAAGAAAAACAAGCTGGAGGTGTCACAGTTCCAGATTTCAGGATATATTACAAAGTTGCAGTAATTAAAAGAGTATGGTAGTGGCACAAAAATATACACATAGATCATTAGATTAGAATAGAGAGCCCATAAATAAACCCATGATAATATGTTCAATTAATCTGTGACAAAGAAGATAAGAATATACAATGGGGAAAAGGCAGTCTCTTCAATGAATGAAGCTGGGAAAGCTAGACAGCTACATGTAAAAAAGTATGAAACTGAACCACTTTCTTCTCTGACACCATACACAAAAATAAACTCAAGATTAATCACACCTAAGCCTGAAACTATAAAAATATTAGAAAGGAACACAGGAAGTAATTTTTTCTGGCTATAGAAACATTTTTCTGGATATGTCTTCTAAGACAGGGGAAACAAAAGTAAAAATAAATTACTGGGACTACCTCAAAACAAAAGCTTTTGGACAGTGAAGGAAACCATCAACAAAATTTTAAAAGACTACCTAATGGATGGGAGAAGATATTAGCAAATGATATGTCAAATAAGGGGTTAATCTCTCAAATATATAAAGAACTTACACAACTCAACACCAAAAAACAAAACAAAACAAAAAACCAATCTGATTAAAAATGGACAGAGGACCTGAATAGATGTTTTCCCAAAAAGGACATTCACATTGCCAACAGACACATGAAAAGATGCTCAACATTATTGATCACCAAGAAAATGCAAATCAAAACCACAACTGGTGTCACCTTACATTTATAGATCAAAGAGAAATAACAAGTGTTGTTGAGGATGTGGAGAAAAAGGAACGCTCACGCAGTGTTGGTAGGAACGTAAATTAGTATTGCCACTGTGGAAAATAGTATGGAATTTCTTCCAAAAATTAAAAATAGAAAGACCATGTGATCTAGTAAATCCACTACTTATTATTTACTTAAAGAAAACAAAAAACCCACTAATTGGAAAAGTTATATGCACCCCTATGTTTATTGCAGCATTATTTACAATAGTCGATACAGAAGCAACCTAAGCGTCCATTGATAGATAAGGAAGATGTGGTACATACAGGGGAATATTACAAAGCTATAGAAAGGATGAAATTGTGCCATTTGAGACAACATGGATGGAACTAGAAGGTATTATGCTAAATGAAATAAGTCAAGCTGGAAAAGACGCCAAGTGATTTCACTCATGTGGAATCTCACAAAAAATGAATAAACAGATTCAGACCTATAAATACAGAGAACGAACTGACAGTTACCAGAGGAGAGGGGGTTGGGGCTGGAGAAAAAGGGTGAAAGGGAGAGGGGCATACAGGCCTCCAGTTATGGAATGAATAAGTCATGCGAATAAATGGCACAGCGTGAAGCATACAGTCGCTGATTCGCAGTAGAGATGTCTGGCGACAGGTGGAAGCTACGTTTGTGGTGAGCACAGGATAATGTATAAACTTGTGAAATCAGTATGTTGTTCACCTGGAAGTAATGTAACATTGTGTGTCATCCGTACTCAAATAAAAATTGTTATCTACTCTTAAATTCCATTTCCATATTTGCAAAGAAGAGAGTAGGATATTTATCCATCTGATCTCCCGTTGGTGATAAGGAGCAAATGACTTATTCTACGCACAGGGCTTTGGGAACTTTTAAGCACTGTACACCTAGGAGAAGTTACCGCTGTGATGATGGTAGTGCGATGACTAAATGAGTCACTTCTCTGGCCACAGAAGGGACAATCTGGTTTCCTTGGGGACTATATCCATGGGATTCATTATGCCAGGACCTGGGGCAGTTCAAACCAGTTTTGATCATAATCTTGACCATAATTTTTCCAAAGCTCCTAACTGACAGTACTCACAATAAGTGCTCCCCAGAATGGATATCCTGTGAGGAAAACGAGGGGAAACCTCTGGGAGAAATTGATGTAATTAAATGCAAATATACTTCCAACGCCCACAATGATCGATGCAAGCAGGATCTGGAGAGCCTGTGAGGAAAGAAATGGGTCCATGAGATCAGAAGTGCCCCAGCTCACTGGGCTCCTCCGGGTCCCTGGGCATACCACCTTGCTTACGTCACGCCTCCCTCCACATGAATGCCTTTCCCTTCCACCTGCCAGCTGCCCTCAGATTTTCCGTTGTCTGTTTCCTCACCACACTCACCTGGTCCTTCAGGTTCGTGACCCTCACTCTCGTCCTTCGCTACTTACTGAATCCCCCGTATTACCAATTTCCCTTGCACCAGACAGATTTAAATATAAGCTTGGCCTACTTGTAAGCTCCTTGAGGACAGAGACTGCAAACTATTCACCTTGCACGTTTTCCCGTCTATAGCTCCAGCATCCTCCTCCTGTCCCCAGTCCCCAGCACACACACATTTTCCGCACCCAGTGCATGCTTTTGGAGCCCACTTCTCTAAAAATTTGAAGTGTGCTGATCTAGAGTGGAGAGGCTGGGGTGAGTTCTCTTCTGCTCCTCAGACAGGAGCCTGTCTAGAGGTGACAGTAATCCACTGGGCTCATCAGGCTGTTAGGAGTCTGTGCCGTGGTGCTCTTGCAGAGAGGGCAGCTCTTCTTGGAACAGAGCTTCTCTTCAAGCATTCTGGATTTTTCCTCATGCATCGACCACAAGTAGTGATTTTCTTCTTTTACAAAGGGTGGAGGCTGTGTACACAGCCCTCCTCTAGGTGCATGTATGACTGAAAATATTTTGTCTAGTTTGTGGCTCACTATGAGCTTTGAATATAGTTTTCAAACAACTCCCAATGCCTGTGACAGCACAAAGGGGAAGTGTAACCTCTCCTTGAATGGCTTTTAGCTCCAAGGGAGGCGCCACCATGTCCTGAGGTCACCTCATCAATAAAATATTTGGAAAAATTATACCAGTTTCCTTCATCCTCTCTGATAGAATTCAAAGAGCAGTACTAACTCCTCATGAAACAGCCCTAGGATTTCCTCAGTGTTAGGAAGTTTTAGTCAAACTGTGGAAAGAGCCCAGATGCCCCTCAACAGATGAATGGGTAGAGAAGATGTGATAAATACACAATGGAATACTACCCAGCCAAAAAGAATGACATCTTGACATTTGTAATAATATGCATGGAAGTAGAGCAAAGCAAAATAAGTTAATCAGAGAAAGGCAATTATATGGTTTCACTCATATGTGGAATTTAAAAAACAAAACAGAGGAGCACAGGGGAAGGGGGGAAATAAAACAAGATGAAATCAGACAGGAAGACAAACCATGAGAGACTCTTAACTATAGGGAACAAACTGAGGGTTACTGGGGGGCGGGGGACGGGGCCACTGGGTGATGAGCATTAAGGAGGGCACGTGATGTGATGAACACTGGGTGTGATATGCAACTTACGATTAACTGAACTCTTCATCTGAAAATAATTTACTATATATAGTAAATTTACTATATATATTGTTGGCTAATTGAATTTAAAGAACAAAAATAAAGATGATAAATAAATAAATAAATAAATAAATAAATAAATAAATAAATGCTGTTTTTTCCAGCATTAAATAAGCCTCCAGAAGCATTTCTAAGACATGCTTATAAATAAGACATTTACAAGGCAAACTGTGCATTTCTAAGCAGAATTTTATTTCTCTTATTTATCAAATACCAGGGAAATGGTAATATTTGCTATATATTGGTTCTTCTACTGAAGATCAAGGTTATTTGTACAAGCAAGTGACTTAGAAGTTTTTATGATTAGTCAAGAAGGAAACATTAAGATGAAAAATGACAAAAAAAATAAAGAAGGGGAATCAAGTCCCTTCCTGAAAAAGCCTCCAGGCAGACACACCTGGAAAAAAACAGCTTCTTTTCTCCTTTCCAGGAAAACCCGCAGATGGGAGAGGACTTACCCCCAAGACTTTTGGCTCTCCCTTCAGGAAATCCAGCAGAGAGCTCTGAGGTCCATAGGGAAATGCAGTCAGTATTGTATCATTTGGTTGTATAGTGATGACATGGGCCGATCTTTTGACTTCAGATGATGACTCCATGATTCATTGGCAGAACTCTATTAAGAGTGAGTGAGTGAGTGAGTGATCGCTGCAGCCAAAACCATGGTCTTCCATCAGTCTTACATGGAGCGATGAACCTTCGTGGTTGCTCTCCTCGCTCCTAGAACCACAGAATCACAGTCATTGAGTCATAGAGTCTAAGAATTCTAGAGCACATCCAGCCCCCTGAATCCTGGTGGAAGATCCATCCAATTTTCCAGAAGACATACTTTCTTCTTTTTTTTTTTTTAGTATTTTATTTTTATTTTTATTTTTTTTTATAAATTAATTTTTATTGGTGTTCAATTTACCAACATACAGAGCAACACCCAGTGCTCATCCCGAAGACATACTTTCTTGTCAGTTTGATTATAAACAGTTTGCAAACACAAAACAAATAGACGATGTAGATGAAAACAAATCCCAATACCTAGGCTCACGAGATATAAAGGAACTAAAACTTATGGAATATCCATTATGTTCTAGGTACTGTAGACAGTGTTTGTTTTATTATCTATTAACCTTTATCCTTTTACAATTATATAGTGCCCAAATCGAGGCACAGAGAGACTATGTTACCCAAGGTAACACAATAAGGGATAAGGAAAGGAGCCAAACTCCACCTTTCTGTCTCTCAAATTCGTGCTTCTTCCACTCTCTTTCAAAAGGAGATTCCCACTTACAGTTGATAAATTGTCTCACTTGATGTTCAATCTTATTCCTTAGTAGTGTAAAAATCCATATTTAAGAAGGTACAGGACTAGATGTAGCTGACGCTTTAACAGAGCATATTTTAGCTTTCAGAAAGCCGCGTAAAGCTAACCCTGCTCAAAGCCTCCCTGATTTAAACTATACAAGTACAATGAAAAGAACAGAAAGTGCCTTTTGGAACTTTGCTTCTTACATTTAATCCTTTATATTCCTGTATTTATTAGAATTTTAACTATTTAAACCACAAAGGTAAATGATTTCACAGATTAAAAAAAAATGTTATCTTGAGTTTTTCCTAGTTTGTGGCAACCATGGATAGTGAGGTTTCTCAACCTCAGCCCTGCTGGCATTTGGGTTCTGCTAATTCTTTGCTGGAAGGAGTTGTTCTGTGCATTGTAGAATATTTGGCAGTGTCTCTGGCTAGTACATGTCCCCGTTGTGACAAGCAAAATTGTCTCCATACATTGCCAAATGTCCTGTGGGAGTAAGGGGCAAAATCATTTCAGGTTGAGAACCACTGATACAAAGAAATAATTGCAGACTGTGTTCTCTGTTAATTTTATTTTATTTTTCTGAAAGAATGACTCTGTGTTTCACATCCAAACTTCAGAGAGGATACATATTTCTCAATACAACATTTTTCTACCAACATTTATTCAAGTAAATTTTAATTTATGTACCCAAAGTGCAAGGCAACATTTTAAACAATGAAAAGTGTGGGACAAGTCTGTATTTAAATTGTAAGCAGAATTGATAGATCATCAGAATCATGTGGAGAAATTTTGAGAAGCGTACCGTCTCAATAAAGAGGAGGTGCACCCAGGATGGTGCTGACTCAGCCTGCACCCAAGCACTGAAAAAAAAAAAGGCATCTATTTGTTACTAACCATTGTGATGATTTGGCAATCAAGGAATTACAGTAGTTTAAGCGTTTTTATAACCTGTTAATTTACTATTCACACATGGTTATTTTACTTACATTTTGGGAAATTGGACAGGAGTGTGGATTGAGTAATAGCATATGATTTTTTTTCTTTTAAAATGATGGAAAAGAACTGTCTTCATGCAGAACACCTGATTTTTAGGAAGGAAAACTAATATTCAGTAGGAGACACTTAAAATTTTATCTGCCTTTTTTTAAGATTTTATTTATTTATTCATGAGAGACACAGAGAGAGAGGAGAGAGAGAGAGAGAGAGAGAGAGAGAGAGAGAGAGAGAGAGGCAGAGACACAGGCAGAGGGAGAAGCAGGCTCCATGCAGGGAGCCCGACGTGGGACTCGATCCCGGGTCTCCAGGATCAGGCCCTGGGCTGAAAGTGGCACTAAACCGCTGGGCCACCCGGGCTGCCCCGCCTTGGTTATTTCATAAACACATCTCATCTTATTATTTCAACTAGGTTATAGTTGTCAGCCTCAGCCCTATCTCCTGTTTCTTTTTTTTTTTTTTTTTTTAATATTTTTTTGAATTTTTATTTATTTACGATAGGCACACAGTGAGAGAGAGAGAGGCAGAGACACAGGCAGAGGGAGAAGCAGGCTCCATGGACCGGGAGCCCGACGTGGGATTCGATCCCGGGTCTCCAGGATCGCGCCCCGGGCCAAAGGCAGGCGCCAAACCGCTGCGCCACCCAGGGATCCCCTATCTCCTGTTTCTGACTTACATGCAGAACCTATGGGTGCTCTAATATCAGCCCACAGACTCACACCAGAAGGTAGGAATGAGGCTGTTCCTTGGAGAAGTGAAATGACAGTTACGGGCAGGGTGATATCCTTTGGGTGGAAGTGGCATTCTCCTTGCTTTTCACCTGCAGAAGACCACTCTTAGCATTTGACGGTAACACTTAGCATGTGCCAATACTGCTTTCATAAAGTGCGATGCGATATTTATTACTCCCTCATTAAATTCATCCTTCTGCATGCGCTACTGTGTCACTCTCCCAACAATCTTGGAAGGTAGGCTTTATTATCATATTCATTTTAAAGAAGAGGAAACTGGGGCCCAACATTACTGCTGGTAAGGGTGAAAGCCAAAATTTGAGCTTGGCTTCCCTCTTCCATTTTCAAGGCAACCATACTAGTTAGTTAGTTGTTAGTTTTATTGCTATGAACTACCATAAATTTAATGGCTCCAAATAACACACCTTTACTGTCTTACAATTTTTGGAGTTGAGTCATGGCCTAGTCAGTTGCCTCTGTTCAGGGTCTCATGTGGAGGACTACAATCGAGGTATTAGACAGCCTGTATTTCCATCTAGAGACTCAAGTGGGGAAAACCCACTTCCAAGCATAGTCAGGTTATTGACAGAATTTATTTCCTTGTGGTTGGATGACTCAGCCCTGGGCTTCTCCAGCTGAATGCCCTCAGTTCCTTGCTTTCTCAATATGACTGCTTACATCAGGCCACCGGAGAGAATCTTTCGCCTCGTTGGTTAAGATGGAAGGAAGGATGGAGAGTTTGTGATAAGGATTTGAGTGTGTGTGGCTCGGCCATTTTGAGTTTCCTTTTAGGGAAGCTGCAATTATTTCTAAAACACTGATAGAACCCAGAATTCTAGTATGTATGTTCAACATCTGCAAGGTCTGCTTGGACTTGGTTGGAACCATTCACTCTTCTTCCTGTGAATGTATTCGACCTTCCTGCTAGTGGTTCTTGCCTAATTGGAGTCCCAAAGTGAATATAGGAAGGCAAAAGGAGTCAAAAATGACTCCCAAATTTCTGACTTTAAAAACTGAGTGGCTGGTCATATCATTTATGAAAGACAACCAGGTTAGGGGGAACAGAGGGGAGTTGCAAATGAAATATGCATTGTCCTTACTGCGTCTACTATCAGTTTGGAATATTATTCCAGATAGTTCTAAGCACAATTCTCCAAATATTCTGAAGAGCCTTCCTATTAACAGAGAAACAAACAAATAAAAAAATAGATCTGGATTAGTTTATTGCATTGCTTGGTTTACAGAATAAGAAGGACTCTCTAAGGCTCTTCACCCCTCAGTGTAAAATATTAATACATACACACAAATATGCATTTGAAAACATACAAGGAGAGCTGAAAACCTCAGCAGAGAGCTGTGAGTGAGTGCCCTAGCTTACAGACTAGTAAGGGTAGACATACAATTAATGAACAAATAAAATACATAGTGTATCAGAACGTAGTAAGTGCTTTGGGGAAAAAAAATAACAAGTGAACAGGAGAGAGGCCCATAATTTTATGTAGACTGGTGGGGGAAATTTTATTGCAATTAAAAGATTTGAAGAAAGACCTAAAAGAAGTAAAAGAAGAAACAATGGAAAAAAATTGCAGGAAGAGTATTCAAGGTGGAGGGACTGCCAGTGTACAATTTCTAAACAAAGTATATGTCAAGTAATAGCAAAAGGCCTGTCGGACTGGGGTAGAGGGAACGAGGACGAGTAGTCAGAAGGTCAGAGCAGAAATGCGAGTTCCAGTTTTAGCATATGTGCTGCCGAAGCAAGCACAGAAATGAGAGTTCAGGTCCTATAAGGACATTTAGGGACTACAGCCTTTATTAGGAATGAAGGAAAGTGGGTTCGAGTAGAGGAATGACATGGTCTGATTTTAGATGGGGGGGAAAAATCTACATCTGCCAAATGGAAAATAGACCAAGTGGTGGGGGTGCCCAGTTGATTGCCCACTGCAGTAATGCCAATGGGAGATTATGAGCCAGAGTACTCATGAGATGATGACAAATAATCAGAATGAATATTTTTTGAAGTTAGAACTAGTAAGTTTTAATGATAGACTGGATGGGGTGTGTGAAAAAAATAGAAGCACCAAAGATGACTCCACGGCTTTTGGAAGATGATATTTCAAAGGGATTGAGAAGTGAAGGATGGCTTAATAACTAGACGGGCCAAGGGGTCAAAAGTAACTTTTTCAAAAAGTTTTTATTCAATTATAGCATAAAAACAAGAGAACACAAGTCATATATGCACAACACCAGCATCCAGATCAAGCCCATAGACTGTGTGGATTCCCTTCTAGTAACACCCTCTTCCCCAATGGTGACCGCTATCCTGCTTCTACACTCTCTTGGTTTAGCTTGTGTTTAAACTTTATACACATAGAATCATATCATATGTACTCTTTTGTACATGGCCTTTTCCCCACAAACATTATATTTGTGGGATTTGTCTATATGGCTGCATGTAATTATGGTCTGTCCACTCAGACTGTATTACTGGTTAGAACTCCATTGTGTGAACACACCACTATTTTTATTTCTCTCTTTCATTGTTTATAGTCATTTGGATAGTTTCCTTTTGGAGGCAATTATGTATATTACTTCTATGACCATTTCCGTATATGTCATTTGGAAAACATATGTGTGCATTTTGTAGCATCCTCCCCTTGGGGCAGGACCCAAAGTTTAGACCCAGGGGACAATATTGAGACCCTCTTTACTGGGTAGGTCGTGTTGTTTACTTCAATACAGTAATAAAGTGGATATTCTTTCCATATGGATGATTTCTTATTTGGTCTAGGACTTAGATGGGGAAGAGCATTGTTCTAAATTATAATCTTTGAAGCCAGATATTTCAGAATAAAGTCATTAAATGAGACAATATAGAGCCACATTCATTTGACAGAAATTGACTTCATTCAATTGGCAGAAATGGAGCCATGTATTTTTTTAAGATTTTATTTATTTATTCATGAGAAACAGAGAGAGAGAGAGAGAGAGAGAGAGAGAGGGAGAGAGGCAGAGACACAGGCAGAGGAAGAAGCAGGCTCCATGCAGGGGGCCCGATGCGGGACTGGATCCCAGGTCTCCGGGATCACCCCCTGGGCCCAAGGTGGTGCTAAACAGCTGAGCCGCCCAGGCTGCCCTGGAACCATATATTTTTAAAGTACTTTTAATTTAAAAGTTCTTGCAGTCCCTGATATCTAATGTTTAGCACTATGAGTGTGAAAATAATACAGGAGTGGAGCCTGCATAGGCACATGACTTGGCCTCTTCACACACACACAGGAGTGCACATTTTCTCTCCTTAGTCATGGGTAGATGAATCACTTTCTGTTCAGTTTATGCACTCAGGCTTTTGAGAGATTATTTTCAAGAGCAATGAAATTACATTGAGCAAGTGCAAAACAAAAGCTGTTTTCTAAAAGTTTATTTTGTTGTCTAAGTCGCTGAAATTTCAGGAAAGTCTAATCACACTTTGCCAGGAGCTCTGGATTTCTCCTCCTTTTTCTTCTAAGGTGTTACTCTTATCCATGACCTGGAAGAGCTTTTAGGCCTGTTGGATATGACCTAGTGACAGAGGCAAGGAAAATGCACTCTAGAAAAAAGAAAGTGTATTAGTAGTTATTAAAGTCTGATTTGGGAGGCTTTCTTTGACCCATATTTTATTTTATTTTATTTTATTTTATTTTATTTTATTTTATTTTATTTTTATTTTATTTTATTTTATTTTATTATTTTATTTTATTTTATTTATTTTATTTTATTTGTGTTTTTATTTTATTTTATTTTATTTTATTTTATTTTTTAATAAATTAATTTTTATTGGTGTTCAATTTACCAACATACAGAATAACACCCAGTGCTCATCCTGTCAAGTGTCCCCCTCAGTGCCCGTCACCCATTCACCCCCACCCCCCGCCCTCCTCCCCTTCCACCACCCCTAGTTCATTTCCCAGAGTTAGAAGTCTTTATGTTCTGTGTCCCTTTCTGATATCTCCCACACATTTCTTCTCCCTTCCCTTATATTCCCCTTCACTATTATTCATATTCCCCAATGAAGCATTTTATTTTTTTAATAAATTAATTTTTTATTGGTGTTCAATTTACCAACATACAGAATAACACCCAGTGCTCATCCTGTCAAGTGTGACCCATATTTTAGAATGCATTCCCCCCATATGTGGTACAGTAGTGGCCTTTACCAAAATGTATGATTGCATCAATAGTTCAAACAAATTTCATTCTTTAATCTGCTGATCATGCTACCATTTACTAAGACCATAATTGAACCATAATTTATTTAATCCCTTTAAATAGCTTCCTTTTAAAAAAATTTTTTTTTAATTTTTATTTATTTATGATAGTCACAGAGAGAGAGAGAGAGAGAGGCAGAGACATAGGCAGAGGGAGAAGCAGGCTCCATGCACCGGGAGCCCGATGTGGGATTCGATCCCGGGTCTCCAGGATCGCGCCCTGGGCCAAAGGCAGGTGCCAAACCGCTGCGCCACCCAGGGATCCCTAAATAGCTTCCTTTAAAAAATAAATTACTGCTTTTAGAAGAAAGGCAAGGATCTTTAAATTGTAAAGTCATGCCCTAAGAGGAGGTAAGGAAGAAAGCAGAAAAACATAAACATATCAGAGATGCCCCAGTAAGATCTTATCACATTAGCAAGGGAATGGGGCCATGGAGACTCCAGGGAGGCAGGTGGCTGCGTCTGTGAGAAGAGGGAGGAGATGCAAGCTTTCATTCTCAGCCTGTTTGCGTCATTCATTCTCCATGTGACTTTATGCAAGCCTTGATTCTTTTATAAGGGATTGGGGGAAGTGATCTCTTTTTTTTAAAGATTTTATTTATTGATTTGAGAGAAGCACAAGTGGAGGGTTGGAGGGGCAGACTCCCTGCCCAGCAGGGAGCCTGACTTGGGGCTTGATCCCAAGACTCTGAGATGATGACCTGAGGCAAAGGCAAACACTAAACCAACTAAGCCACCCAGGTGTCCTGGGGCAGGATTTCTAAAGCCATTTCAACTCCATATTAAGCAATTCTCTAACTGGCCTGCTGGCCAGAAGGTACCCGGATGCCAGTGTCACCATGAAGAAACCCATTCCTAGAACTCTCTCATCACTATGAAAGTCACCTTCTACATGAACCTCTTGACCCATAGTTGAGTCCTCTTTCTGACACCGGGATCATTATAGCTCAAAGTTGGGACCCAGCAGATGCCAGGTGACATTTCAGAATACTCACCCCAGGGTTGTTGGAGTGCACCTGTTTCCACCAAAGAGTAGAAGCATATGCAGCCATCAGGAGCTCCAGCACAGTGAAGATGAGCATCACCACCAGCAGCCCCTGTGAATCAAGCCAGGGATGGTTGGGCCTGACTGGAGAGAGGAGACTGGGAGGCGAAGGCTGAGCCCTGGCAGTGGACAGAAGAGGGAATAAGCAGCAACAGCTCTGTCTTAGAGCCGGGGAGTAACCCTGCCTTCATCTCCAGTCATTTTTACTGTTATGATGTTTCTAGTGTGGAATTCTTATTTATCCGGAAACAGTCTCCATTCATGCGTTCAATCTGAAATCTCATGAATTTTTTTAAATTCTGAAATTTTGCCAGTTATTTCTCTTCGCATGCTTCCCCCTGCCCTGGCCATTCTCTCAGAGCTCACATTACATGTTCACTGCGCCCTCCCTGTCTGTTAACCTGTCACTAAGATTTTCAGATTTCTATTGTAATGTGTTGTGCTCTGGATGATTAAACAGACCTAAGTTTCATCTCACTATTTCTTTGGATATGTTGAATCTGCTATTTAACTGATCTGCTAAACTTTTAATTTCAAAGATTATGCTTTGCATTTCAGTCATACTGTATAGTTCTTTCTCAAATCTACTTGTTCTTTTTTCTTACTGTCATGTAAGGTTTGGTTTTAATTCATTTTGGTTTTAATTCCTTTTTTATATCATTTAAAATATATTTTTATTATAGTCTTTGAAATTAGTATATAACCTCCAATTCTTGAGCAACTAACTTTCATATTTGTTCCATTTGCTGCTGTTCTCCATTTTTTCTTAATGTTTTTCAAAATATCTTTATTCTCAGATGATGTCAGTACATGGGGAGGGGAGAGAATTTTTTTAACACGGATTGGGTTTATGGATGACTCCTTAGATGGAAATTTTAGGTTTGATTCTTTTTTTTTTTTTTAGGTTTGATTCTGATAGAACCTCAGGAGTTCCACAGACCCAAGAACAAATTTTAAGTTAATCATTGTATTTTAAGATTCCTATATTTTATATGTAATTTCGGAATTGGATACTGTCTATATCTGCACATGGTTTGGTGAGATGAATTCATCCCAGAAACTTTTAGGGTGGAGTTTCTTAAAGCTTCGTGAGATGTTGGGCAGAGTTTTCCTTGTCTTGTTTTCATTAATAGTATAAACATTCAATCTCTGCTTCTAATGTTTTTTGCAGGGCGCTCAATGGGGGGCTAAAAAACTTCAGATTTGTCATGGGCATTAAAATGTCATAACCCAGCTTGAAACACCTGTGTTACCATCCAGATTTCTCTGGTTTTCTGGTCTTAGCTCTTGTTTGGTTACCTGGCTGCAGGATCCTTCTTAGCTCCTGGAGCATAAGATGCCTTTCTTCCTTGAGTTTTTCCTTGTTTCCATCCTCCCTTCCTTCCTTCTTCAACTTCAGATAGATATTTAAAATGTTTTTATGTGTTACTTTACTTAAGTTATCTTTGTATTGATAAAGAAAGAGTGGGCTTTTGGGGTCAGTCCTATGTGATTTATCTGATTTTGCAGGAAGTTCTCTGGTTGTCTGAAAGCAAGAGGCAGTTTAATGTATTGATAGTAGTTTTCATGGAGTTAAACCCTCAATGTCCCAACAGGGAGGCTGTCTCCTTCACCCTCATGGTTTTGCCTGATGTCTGCCCTGCACCAGGGTTATGCTAGCTCCTGGGCTTCCTGACACAGAGTTTCTAACATTCTGTTCCCTTCCACTTCCATGAGCTCCAAGATCAAAGGGATTGCTTTTGACAAACTCTGGGTCACATAGGCAGACTCACAGGAGGCTGTGAGTCTGGAAACTTGCACGCATTTTCTGGGATCCGTGAGAAGGGAATAAGAGATATTATATTTGTCTCCCTGGCTCCTGTTGGAGGAGTCACAAGGGAAGAATTTTTTTCTTCTTAAAAGGCCAAAGTTTGTGGTTTTAAAATTAAGAGACTGTATAGAGAGGATTGACTAAGTCAGGATTTTTTTTATCATGAACAAGTGATGACCATCCATGTGGGTTGAGGGGGGAGAAGTAGAAGAAAATGCTACCCAGAGATGCTGGCATTTATGCTAGGAGTGGAATCTATTGGGCAGTCTCCCATCCCCTTCTCCCTCTGCCAGACCTGCTCGGCCAAAGTGCAATAATTATGTGTTTGGGCTTAAAGTCCAAGTTCTATAGCTAACTTAATGTGGCTACATCAATCCCAAATCAAATTCAAATAAGGAGGGATATTTATGCTTGTGAGGAGGAAAATGCTTGCTCAACAAAGGGGGCGCCCTGAGAGCTAAACCAATTGAAAATGGAATATTTTTTAATGTAAGAAAGACTGCTGACCACCTCCTCTTTATCCATTCATCTGTGAATGGACTCCTCAGTTGCTTCCATAGCTTGGCTATTGTAAATAACGCTGCAATAAGCACAAGGGTGCATATATCTTTTCAAACGAGTGTTTTTGTCTTCTTTGAGTCAATACCTAGTAGTGGAATTATTGGATCATATGGTATTTCTATTTTTAATTTTCTGAGGAGCCCTCATACTGTTTTCCATAATGACTGGAAATGCACCAATTTACATTCCTACCAATAGTGCATATTGTCCCCTTTACCCCACATCCTTACCAACGTTTGTTGTTTCTTGTGTTTTTGATACTAGCCATTCTGACAGGTATGAGGTGATACCTCATTGTGGTTTTGAATTTCATTTCCGTGATGATAAGAGATGTTGAACATCTATTCACATGTCTGTCAGCCATCTGTATGTCTTCTTTGGAAAAATATCTGTTAATGTCTTCTGCCCATTTTTAATTGGGTTATTTGTTTTTTCAGTGTTGAGTTGTATAAGTTCTTATATATTTTGGATATTAACCCTTATAGGATATGTCATTTGCAAATATCTTATCGGATTTAGTATATTGCTTTTTCTCTTTATTGATGTTCTCTTTGCTGTGCAGAAGCTTTTTATTTTGGATGTAGTCCCAGTAGTTTATTTTTGCTTATTTCTCTTACCAGAGGAGAAATATCTAGAACCCACAGCCCTTCTTGATTTCCTATTTTGACTTGGCACAATTCATCCCCTGTATTTTGCAATCTGCTGACAGGACTCATTCAACCACATTTTTTTTTTATGTCTGCTTCCAGGATTCAGATCAAGAAAGTACAAACTGCTGAAAAACCAGAGATTATGTAAATAAGAGAAGCTGAGATTTCATATGACAGGATATTTTTTTTCATATGACAGGATATTGAATTTGAAATTACTTACTGTCAGACTGACGCTAGCCAGGAGACATTCCTTGAATTCATATATCTCATAATAGTACATCGAATAAGGCAGGGAGGATAGATATTCCCTTTGTGAATCACAGCGTTGAGAGACAGTCCCCAGGGCTACCAGACGATCAGCAAGGAGGAAGAGGCCTGCTCCAGCGGCGAGAGAACTCACCACGTTTGAGGTCAAGCTGCTCATGGCCTGAAAAAGAAGTTCTGCATGGGGATCTCATGGCAGAAGCAGCAAGTGGTGCTGGTAGCCCTCTATCCATCGCACTGCAATGGTGCTTCCTTGAGCCTGTTTGCCCTCTAACCCGCATACTCCAGTAGCACAGACTGTTTTATTCACCTCTGTATCCTGCTTCTCTATCTATTCACCTGATATAATTCATAAATGTCTGTTGAGTGAGAGAATGCATGAACAATTCCTTCTTCAGCATAGGGCTTCTGGATCCTTGACTCTCGGCAGCACTGAAGACAGACGTGGCACTGCTCAAGCCACTACCAGCATATTCCTTGACTTCCTCCACAGCCCTAGAATAATTCTTTCACTTTAAGGACTTCTCAGAGGGCCTAGACCAATCTATGGCTTTTCTTTCCTTAAAAGAGAAAACTGGAGGAGCTGGAATATCTATCTATAGGTGGATCAAGCCTGAGAACCACATGCACCAATGTGCTGCATGCTGGGTAACATTCTACATTTTGGGGTAAAGGGTTCTCACAGAATATGGTTCCTCTGTAAAGACACTGATGTCCTAGACTCTGTGCCAGGTTCTCCACACATGCTCTTTCCTATTTGAATATCACTGTAGGATGCCATGTGTTGGGAGGATGGTTGCTCTGCCCCCTTCTCCCTGGGCTTGGTAGCTCTGTGGCTTCAAGTGCTGAGTTACTTAAGGAAGAGCAGAAAGATTGGGCAGTGCCATTGCCCAGAGCTGCCATGTGAGCCGTGGAGCCCACGTATTTTCTTGTGTCCTATGTGTAGAGCCCACATTGTGCCAGGTCACCCCAAGTATTGTTTTCCTTTTTAGGGTACTCAGGACACTTGGGAAACCACCTGTGAGATCCACATGTTTATCTTCCACATTTTATAAATGAGAAAACTGAAGCCGAGAGAAGGAAGGAATTTTTTAAGCACACAAATTGGTCAGTGACAGAGCTTGGACAAGAGTGTAGGTTTCCTGGTTCCAAGTCCAGAATTCTGACTCCATCCAGTGGGATGAACTCTTCAAAATTCTGTCCACTGGTTCTTAGATTTATATTCTAGCTTCAAGTATCAGGAACGTGTCCCATATTATGTACCCTCATCCATAGCTAACTAGACCCTGGACCTTCCTGAGTCAGGATGTGGCTTTTCCCTAAGTCATCTTTGTGAGCTTGTGACAGGGGAAAGGAGAGTGTTGTTATGGAGAGGATCAAAGGCCCCAACCACATATTTGTGACTTTTGTCAGGAAATTGACCACAGTCTGATAATTCCTTAGATCTACAGAATCTAAGCCTACATCCCTGTGCCTCTGACCTTGCCATTTAGGGAAATTGACTCATTATGAGACAGGTTTTTCCAGAAAAAGATCTCTAGGTTCTATCTGAGATGGTTGTTTACTATATTTAGGACCAAGATAACAAACTATAAAGACTCCATGGTATATTTAAAAAATTTCTACTGTTTAAGCAACTGAGGTAAATCTGCTCTAAGCTTGGAATATGACCCAGGAGTACGTTGTGTAGGAGAAGAGCACTGGTGTAGAAGGCAAATAATTTGATGTTTACATCCCATTCTGCCAGTGGACCAGCAGTGAGAACTTGGGCTCTCTCCCCTGCTTGGAGCCCTATTTCCTTAAGTTGTCAAATGGAAACTTTGAACGAGACTAACTCTGAAGTTCCTTTTTTTCCCCAATGAGCTGAGATTTGATAATTCTCATACTTACAAAGGGTTTAGTTGACTTTTTCCCAGAAATAATGGAGAGGGATCCCGTAATGGCAAACTGCTCAGAAAAGAGAGAAATAGTCAGTTCAGTTGTCTTGTGGAAATGTGACCACCATGTTATTATCCATCAATCAAAAAGTAATGTAAAACTTTTAGAGAGATAGCCTAGGAATGGCGTGGGTCCATATTGGTAGAGAGGCCCGAGTTCCACTCCCTGGATGCTTACGTTGACTCTGAAGCCTGGGCCGATACACAGTGGATCTGGATTTATGTTAGCAAAAATCACCATGAGCTAAGGCGGCCTGGAGAGGAGGTGCGCATGGATGGAGAGCAGGGCTGAGTTACAAGGTGGGAAGAGAAAGACCAAGGACTTGAAGTGGTAGGATGATGGGAGCGGCCAACAGAGGCACTTAGGAAAGGGGCTCTGATGGCACAAGCTACAGAAATGTGAGCTTCAAGCATTGCTGTAGGGGCCTGAGTTAGACTGGTTGCTGAGGAAGGTAGGAAGTACAGGGACAGATGTGAAGATCCCTTCATCCTGAAGCCCCAGAAGTCAGTAGTTGAGCCCAGTGCTGTTAAGGATCCAGCTTGTGGAGGGAGAATGTTCTGAGATGCTAAAGCATTGGCTGAGCTTGTGCCTTTGGGGGTTGGGTAGTCACAAGGGGGGTCCAGAGTGGCCATTTCTTCCTTTTGCAAGGGAATGTGGGAGCCACAGCTACTGACCAGGGAGAGATAGGAGGACAAGTTATGCTCTGGAGACAGGGCTTCCTTACGTCACTGCAGTTTGTGTTTGCACAAAGGCTTTGTGCGTGTAGACGTGGTGCTTTGGTAGAATCCATCTGCCCAGAACGTGCATTTCTTTCTCCTTTCTACAGGATACTACTTGGACAAATAAGTGGCCCTCAGTGAAAGGCATGACTAGGCCCTGGCTATCTCCAAAGAAAATGATCGCTTCTCCATGAGTATTTAGATAAAAAGCAGCAAAAAGTTTTCTAAGTTCTCAGGATTCCTCTAAACATATAAGTGTCCTTGCTTCCCACGAGTTATACCATTGCCAGTTTAATTCTCTGCAAACCTATGGCATCTACCAGTGGTGCTCATTCTATTTTAAAAATGACCTTTTCACTCTCTACTTGATTGTTCTTAAACTGGAGGAAATCCACTGGCCTTATCAAAGGCAGAAAAAAAGTGAAAACTCTTCCATTTTTCCAGTGGTAGGCTGTGAGGCCAGGGAAGAAATGCTGTACTAGTATGCCCACTGTATTACCCTCTTGCTGCCTGCCCCAACCAGCCACTCCCTGGGATGGTGACACAGGAGGAGGGATTAGGCCCCTCCGGTGCTCTTCTTGAGTTGAAGAACTGTGACACAGGAACTTAATGACAGAGGGAAAGTCAGAGGCTTGGCTGCCTTCTCCTCTCTCCCCACCTCTTGGGAGTCATTTAGCACCTACTTAGTGTTAAAAAGCATGTTCTTTCTTGGAGAACCCACTCTACTCACACATAGAGCTCCTACAAATGGGTACCCAGACATCAAAATGGTGGAAATTGTTGGCTTGACGTGGGAAGAGTAGGGACCAGAAACCAAAATGGCCCCCAAACTTGAAATCAACAGGCAACACAGGATCTGGATAATCTACAAGAGACAAGAAAGAAAATTCTAGGAACATTCTTTGAACAGATGAAAGTGATTGCTTGAATGTACATTGTGATTATAGAGTATAAAATATGTTATAATTTATCATATTAAAAAGGAAAAAAAAAGGGGTGCCTGCGTGGCTCAGTCAGTTAAGCATCTGACTCTTGATTTCAACTCAGGTCATGATCTCAAGGTTGTAAGATCAAGCCCCATGCTGGGTGTGGAGCCTGCTTAGATTCTCTCTCTCCCTCTCCTGCTTCCCCTGCTACACTTTTGTGTAAGCAATCTATCTCTAATAAAAAATAAATTAATTAAATCAAATTAAAAGGAAAATAAATTGTGTTAGAAGGAGCCAGAAGGCATTCTCTAAGAGAAAGTCATGTATAACTAACCTCTCCTTTTCTGATAGGATTATTAAACTAACAAGTCAGGGAGCGATGATATGTGCATTTTGACTTTATTTTGAAAAATATAGTGAACAATTTTTTGCTGTTGTTGTTCCAGGAAAAGCAAATGGAGGAAAATTTTTCTGGACAGTAGCCCAGTTGGATGGATGTAGAAAGCAAACTTATCAAGAGAGTTAATAAAAGGACTCAATTTCAGTTGAAATAAAATAGAGTAGAAAGTCTCTAGTGCCATAGTTCATCTTATGTTCATCATAATTGGATTTTAATAATAATTACTATTTTCATGATTACCAGTGATAATAATAATACTCTATATTTGTTGAACACTTTCTAAACTCTGATTATTCAACTCATCTTTTAAGGATAAGAAATATGGGGCACCAAGAGTTAAAACAGTTTGTACAAACCCACACAAATAATCAAGTGGAAGATCTAGGATTTAGCCCTGTTGCTTTGATCTAGAACCCACACTCAAACCTGCTGTTTAATGCACATGCAATTCAAAGATGATAGAAACATGGGAGAAATAACCTAAAGCCAAGAAAATTCAACCATTCATACAACTGATACTTATTAAATAGCTATTGTGGGCTAGCACCAGGGAAATGAAGCAAGTGAAAGTCACTGCCACTAGCCATTATTATGTCCTTTAAAGATATGTTCCTTGGAAAGTATGGAATGAGTTAAGAGCAAAGTATTAGGAAATGTGATCCGAGAAGTACTGAGGGTGTGGTACAAACCATTGTAAGGCTTTGTAGGCTATTTTACCAATGTTGCCTTTCATTCTTTTTTTTTTTTTAAGATTTGATTTATTTATTTATGAGAGACACAGAAAGAGAGAGAGGCAGAGACACAGGCAGAGGGAGAATTAGGCTTCCTGCAGGGAGCCTGATGAGGGACTTGATCCTGGGACTCCGGGGTCACGCCCTAGGCTGAAGGCAGGCGCCAAACCGCTGAGCCACCCAGGCATACCATGTTACCTTTCATTCTGAGTGAAAAAGGAAGCAAAGTGGATAATTTTGAGCAAAGAGATTACATGATGCAATTTGTATTTTTAAGAGATCATTCTACTGCTGCTTTGAGAATAGTTGATAAATTTTAAGGAAACATAGCAGGGAGATCAATAAAAAGGGTGTTGCAGTAATTCACATGTGAGATGATGTTGACTTGAAAGAACATGTTGACAGTGGAGATAGTAAGTAGTAGTTGGGTTCTAGATGCACAATGAAGATTAAACCTGTAGGATTTGCTAACACTTTAAATGTGGATTATAAAACATAGGAATGAAGGTTGTGTCCAAAGGTTTTGGTTTGAGCATCTGAAATGATGGAATTGACATTGATCTGAGCTGGGAAATGTTGTATGAGGGGTAGGTTTGGGGACAAAGATGAGGATTTCAGTCTGGGGCAGATTAGGGGAGAAATATCTAGAAGATAACCAAGTGGAAATGTACATAGGCTGTTGGATATATAAGAGGAGAGCCAGGTAAGGGGTATAGTCTTTTTTTTTCCTCCAAGTCATTAGGGAAGATAATATTTAAAATTATATGACTGGATGGGATCACCATAGCAGCAGAAGCAAAATAGGATCAATGACTAAGCTGTCGAACACTCCAAATATAGGATCTGGGAAATACATAGAAACAACAAGGGAGTATAAGAGGAGCAGCCAGGAGAGAAGGGGGACAACCAGAAGAATGTAGTGTCCACAAATCCAAGTGATTAAAATGTTTCAAGTAGGATAGAGTAGTTAGCTGCATTAAACACTTCTATTAGTTCAAGAACATTAACAACAGAGATTCAGAAATTGGGTTACTAATGTGGAGCAAAGGGGACAAATGCCATTGGATGTGATTCAAGAGAGAATATTATTCAAGAGAAACTGGAAACATTGACTTCCTGTCCCTTAAAGGAGTGTTGCTGGAAAGGCAAGTAGCCAGTGAGGCAGTAGCTGAAGGGCACGTGAAGTCCTAATAATTTGTTTCTACTTTTTAGTTCTCAAGATGGGAGAAATCACAATAAGATTCTCTGCTCATGGAACTGATAAAAAGAATGTGCAGAGGGAATAGGGAGAATTAATGGAATAAGTAATAAGGAATGGGATCTATTGCACAAAAGAGAAGGTTATAATCTTCAATTAGAAGATGGCCATCTTGTTGGTAATGGGGAGGGGAAGGAAAATATATGGCACAGATGTAATTGCAGACGTGTAGCAGCTTGTGGACATTCTCTCCAGATTGCCTCAATTTTCTCAGTATTTTAGGAAGCAAGGAAATTAATGGAGAAGGAAGAAGCATTAGGAGTTTCAGGGGAATAATAAAAGTGGCAATGACCCAGAGTTCCTCTGTATAGCAAGAGGACTTTGCAAATAGAGCTCTGTTTCTTTTTTTTTCCTTTTAACCTTATCATTGACCTATTATCCCAAGTGTGTAAAATAGTAGCCGGCACACTGAAAGTGCTCAAAAATGACAGCTGAATGTATGAATGAATGAGTGTATTCACAGAATCCCTTATTGGTTGCCGAAGCACACAGTGAAATGTGTTTGTGACTCTAGGCCACACGTAGGCTAGGTTGTAGGGAGCAGGGCAAGTCTGTACGGAACCTACTGTTGGAAGAAGAAAATTAAGGAGTGAGTATTGGTAAATGACAGGAGGATGAGAAACATTAATTGGTTTGATTTTCAAGCAACATATTCATCAAATAATTTTTCTAAGAATGATCACTTTTCAAAATTTGCCAGTACATCATTTAATGCTGTTTTCTAAAACATGGATCATTTTTAGATTTTTAAATTAAACTGTCTTCTGAAATTTTAATTCTCCTATCAATTCTCAATTATTCCTAATATTAGAATTACCTAACGGAAACTTTGAAGTTCATGACTGTTTAAATTACTTGAGGTAATAATTTTTTCCAGTACTCAAGAATTTTTCAAATACATTTTTTTTAAAAAGTGGGAGTGAATTACTTAGTTGGGTGACATGAGATTCTGAAGTAGGACCTTTTAGAGATTGAGAGGAGGAGATGGATCTGGAAGTGTCCTTGCCTAGAAGCGAGGGCCACAGTGGACAAAGTGCCCCTGGGAGCTGGATTTCTGTCTGCACAACCAATAAAGAGACCTTTGAGAAACAAATTGGGAAATAAAGAGGATCATGCTGTTCACTGACCCTGAATTCCAGAGACCACAACTAGACAGGTTTCCAAAGTTGGAAAGGAATAGATAGGAGTTAGGTCTTAAAAGGGGATAGTCAGAGCCATGTGGGAATTAAACTCCTAGATATGAAGGATTATGACTGTGAACACTTTGATGCATTGCAGTTAGGCAAAGAAGGAGAAAATGTACAATGAGGTCAGTCCAGATTGTCTCATCTCAAAATGGTTAAGAAATGAGCTCAAAATAGAAAGATCTAATTTAATCCTATTGAGTAAAATCACGTGGTTAAATCTAAAATCTATTATATTAGAAACAAATTACAGGAGACTTCCTTGTGTAGATTTAAGTGGACACCTAGTGGTTTTAGTTTACAGAAAAGCCTGAGGAGGGTAGAGTCTTCCCTTAAAACCCCATTTCATGTCCCAAAGAGGCTGGAGTCAGATAGAAGGGAAAAAAAGAGAAGAAAGAAAGAAAGAAGAAAGAAGAAAGGAAAGAAAGAAAGAAAGAAAGAAAGAAAGAAAGAAAGAAAGAAGAAAGGAAGAAAGAAAGAAAGACAGGCTTTCCCAGATCCACTGCAGATCTGTAGTCTGAGGACATTCCTAGTATTTTCCCCAGTGTCCCCCTTATAATGACAGCCACTTACTCCAAGGACTGTAGCTTCTTTCTGCAGATTGTCTTGTGGATTACCTTCTTTTTCGTAGCCGTGTCTAGGTTTCTCTCTTTTGAGGACAATAATTCCATTTGGAGTAGAAGAGTCACAGATTCCCTTGGTCTTCAGCTGTGATAGCATGGTGCTGACGATGCTGGAAGAGGCAGTGAACTCAGTTAGGACCCAAAGTTCGACTTGAAGAAGTGAAACCGTTTAAGGTTTTCTCCATTGTCCAAGGGGTGACCTGTCCTTTAGGACCAAAGGTGAATGTGGGAAGCGGTGGACACATTGGAAGGTCAGCATGCTTGGGTCCATTCACTGTGGGCAGAGAGCATGTCACTGGGAGAAAACTGTAAACATTTTGAGGAGTCCCACAATGGAGAGGTGAACAATTCACATAGAACTTGCCTTGCAGCCTTGAGAGTATCCATGTCACTGTCCTTCCAACAATCCCTGCTTCCAGCCTCCCTTGTGTACCTGTGTACCTCTGCTCCACTTGCGGTGCATCCCTGTATCACAGGTCCCAATATTGTACTTTTATGCTGTAACTATATTGCTCAGTCTTCCACCACTTGCCTATGTTAGCTCAATAATTGTTATATGAACATTTATTTAAATCCTGCTAGGGCAGCCTGGGTGGCTCAGTGGTTTAGCGCTGCTTTCAGCCCGGATGTGATCCTGGAGACCCAGGATGGAGTCCCGTGTCGGGCTCCCTGCGTGGAGCCTGCTTCTCCCTCTGCCTGTGTCTCTGTCTCTCTCTCTCTCTCTGTGTCTCTCATGAATGGATCAATTCTTAATAAACAAATAAATAAATAAATAAATAAATAAATAAATAAATAAATAAATAAATAAATAAACCCTGCTAAATTCCAGGCACTAGGGCCATAGTAGCTCTAGTATTTATAACAACTTAGTTGTTACTAACTCCACTTTTTTCATTAGAAACTCAGGACTATAAGTTCAAGTGATTTTCGTTATATGAAATACAAAAGTGCTTAGCTTGGCACATTGAAAGTGTTTAATACATGGTAGCAAATATAATTATTATTATCTGGTATTTGCAAAACTGTCTGACCAAATCCATCTGGCTCAGAAGCTTGTGAGAGTTGTCTCAATACCACGTTAATTATCCTCATCTTTCCTTCTTCTTTCCTAACATTGGGAGTTCCAATGTAGACTCAAGGGGCCTATCATCTGCTGCTCACCATCTTAACAGTGTTGCTGAGCCTTTGTGGTGTGAGCATCAGAGTCCAGCCACTGGGATTCTCCTTAGATCTGTTGTCAGCACAACATTTTCCCTCTTGAAGGCCATAGTTTATACTGTATAAAGGTCTGTGATAATCTGATGGTGCCTCAGTTCTGTTCCCTGATCCTTCCCCTCAATGTCCAAGCTCTCTTGGATGGAGTACAAACATATAAAGATTGGACCTGGCATCCACAATCTCATTACTGGTGAGGAAGATGGGATAAGACATTGATCTAGAAGTCCAATGCCTCAGCATCAAGTTACACGTCTGAACATATGTCCAGTCCTGTGCTCATATTCTATACTCACCAGCTACTACTAAACTCACCATAAGCAAGTTGTTTTAGCCACTTCATAGGTTCATGGTAAGGAAGTGATGAGATGATGCATATGGTTCAACATAGAGCGGGACGTATGATATACTCTCAATAAATATTGGTTATATCTAAAGCTCATTGGAATTCCAGCTCAAATATGTATTAGTTGGCCACAGGCAGGTTACTTCCCTTCATTTATCCTCAGTTTCATTATGCATAAAAAAGGGATAATAATGCTGTCATGAAGGACTCTTGTGAGGATTTGAATGAGGTGATTTAGAGAAGTGTCTTTTGCTGTGTCCATGTGATCTTTATCAGGTGTTCCATAATACTCAATAAAACGTTGGTGACCTGTACCCCACTCCTAGATCCATGCCCTGGTCATTTCTCATGCCCTCTGGGCATCAAGTACCTTATTTGAAAATTTATTAAAAATATAGTTCTCCTTGTCTAAGGAGTTCATTTTCATTGGGAGGATTTTAGAATCTGAACATAAGAATGGTTGCAGTAACATGAACAAGGAGGGGAATAGTGTTGACACTGCATCCTTTGAAGTAGAGCGGGGGCAAAAGGCCATCGATCAGCATTCTAGCACAAAAGCGTCAGGTTTGGAGAGATTCTGAGTTTCAAAATCAAACAGTAAAATGACAATAATTGCTAACATTTACTCAGCTCCCACTGTGAGTCTGGCACTCAAGTAAGAGTTTTGTGTAGAATCTCGTTTAGTCTACACAGGGACTCTCAAAGAAAGGTGCTATTTTTACTTGAAATCTATAGATAAGAAAGTGAGGCTTAGATTTTCCTCTGTGGTTAGGAACACAACAGGGCTGTCCACTATCACCATTGTTATTTAACACAGGACTGAAACTCTCTGCCACAACCATCAGACAATAAAAAGAAATAAAAGGCATCCAAAACAACAAGGAAGAAGTCTAACTTTTCCTATTTGCAGATGACACGATACTCTATATAGAAAGTCTGAAAGTCCACCAAAAATTTCCTAGAACTGATACACGAATTCAGTAAAGTAGCAGGATACAAAATCAACATACAGAAATCTGCTGGATTTCTATATACTAATAATGAAACAGCAGAAAGAGAAATCAAGGAATTGATCCCCTTTACCACTGCACCAAAACCTGTAAGATACCTAAGAATAAACCTAACCAAAAAAAGGAGTAAAAGATCTGTACTCTGAAAACTATACAACACTAGTGAAAGACATTGAAGATGACACACACACAAAAAAAATGGAAATGCATCCCATGCTCATGGATTGGAAGAAAAAAATACTATTAAAATGTCTATGTTACCCAAAGCAATTTCCACATTTAATCCAATCTCTATCAAAATTCTAACAGCATTTTTCACAGAGCTACCTGTAACAAATGATTCTAATTTTTTTTGGAGCCACAAAAGACCCCAAATAGCCAAAGTAATATTGAAAAAAGAAGACAAAGCTGAAGGCATCACAGTTCTGGACTTCAGGTTATATTACAAAGCTGTCGTGTTCAAGACAGTGTGGTACTGGCACAAGAACAGACACATAGATCAATGGAACAGGACATAGAACTCAGAAATGAACCCACAACAAATGGTCAACTAATCTTTGACAAATTAGGAAAGATTTTCCATTGGAAAAAAAGGCAATCTCTTCAACAAATGGTGTTAGGAAAACTGGACAAAAAAATGCAGAAGAATGAAACTGTACCACATTCTTACACCATACACAAAAACAAATTCAAAATGGATGAAAGACCTAAATATGAGACAGGAAACTGTTAAAATCCTAGAGAACATAGGCAATAGCCTCTTTGACATCAGCCGTAGCAACTTCTTACTAGTCTCGTCTCCAAAAACAAGGGAAACAAAAGCAAAATTGAACTATTGTGACTTCATCAGACAGAAAGCTTCTGCACAGTGAAGGAAAACATCAACCAAACTAAAAGGCAGAATAAATCAATTCTGTTGAATCACTAAATTGTACACCTGAAACTAATATTACACTATATGTTAAGTAACTGGGATTTAAATTTAAAAAAGAAAGAAAATGAGGCTTATAGAGGATGAATAGTTCGCACAAGATTATATATCTAGCATATGATGGAGGCAATATTTGAACCCAGGCCTTGTGGTGTCAGGGTTCCTCTATATCCGGGTAGGTGTGGACATGCCCATCTAGCCACACACAACCCTCAGCCCCTCTACCCTCCCTCCCTCATAGCCCGAGTCCATTGATTACCACTCTCCAGCTCCATATTCACTCACAGGAGCATTTCTGGCCTTAGACATCTGTTCCCATATTCTGGTAAACTGGCTTCTGCTGCATTCCTGCAGTTTACTAACCCCAAATGTGCTAAGTAGACCCCTCCTCTTTCTAATCTTAGTCCCTGGTCTCTTGGGGTTTGCCCACATTGTCACAAATTTCAGGAGTTCCTCCTTTGTGAGGCTGACCATGAGGATGCTGTGCTAAGTGAATGAGCTGATCATAGAAGGACATATGCTGAGCGACTCACTTGCATGCGGTATCTAAAACAGACTAACAGAGGCAAAGACTTAGAGTGGTGGTTGCCAGGCTCTAGGGAGGAAGAAATGGGGAGTTGCTGTACAACGTGTATAAAATTTCAGTTGTGCCGGATAAATTCTAGAGATCTGCTGCACAGCGTTGGGCCTATAGGTAGACATACAGTACTGTACACTTGGAGATCTGTTAGAGAGTAGATCTCATGTTAAGTATTCTTACCACAGCAAAAAACTAACAAATAAATAAAAGATAGATAGATGATGATGATGATAGATAGATAGATAGATAGATAGATAGATAGATAGATAAATCCCCAACTTAAGGATTTAAAAACACAAGTCTCTAGTCCTAGATTCTTTCCTATAGGATTTCTCCTTATAGTTTTCAGTCCTCATACCCAAGGACCACAGGATATACTTGATTCTGGCTCCAAGGCTAGGATGTGGAAGACGCTTGGGACGCTTACAATACTCTCGGATACCATGTACATTTATTTTCTTTTAATATTTTTTAACTGTTTTGTTTAGAAAAGTGTATAACATAGCAAACAGAATCAAAAAAAAGAATACATTTTGAAGAGGAAAACGAAATTCCTTAAATCTCAACTTCCATGCAATAACTACCATTTTTTACATATCCTTTGCATTCTTGCATTTTCCCCTTCTCTTTCTTTAAACGTGCTTCCACATGTTCATTGCTCTATCTAAACAGAATCATTCCATCCACGGCAGCCAGAAATCTTTTCGCACTCAGCATTATTCTGTGGATACCTCTGATGCTAATGAATGTAGGTAATAAAAATCCTAAATTCAAAAGCCAAATGCTACACTCTGACATATGGTACAGCATAGATGGGCCTTGAGGACAATATGCTCAGTGAAATAAACCAGTCACAAAAGGTCAAATACTGTACAATTGCACTCTGGAAGGCACCTGGAGAGCTCAAAATTTCATCAGGACAGAAAGAGCGATGGCTGCCAGGAGGAGAGGAAAGTGTGGAGTTAGTGCTTAATGGGCGTGGAGCTTCAGTCTGTGGAAGGAAAAGTTCTGGAGTTCAGTTGTGGGGATGGTTGCACAGGATGAGGATGTACTAAATGCCACTGAGTGATACACTTATAAATGGTTGAAATGCTTAATCTTGTGTTATGTATATTTTACCACAATAAAAAAGCCAATGTATTCAAATGAATAGATGTCTCAAGATTCATTTAACCAGTCACGGTTATTTAGATTCTCTCTCTCTCTCTATTATTATAAACAATGCTATGGATAGTGAACATCATTGCACTCCTGTGCTGCCTCACCTATTCAGTTATCTCCTTAGAGTAACATTTAGAAGTGGATTTATGCAGTTTAAGGCTACGACATACATAGCGCTACTTTTTAGAAGGAATCCTGCGGCGCCAGCGTTCTTTATGGTTCCACAGGAAGACTCCAGACTGATGCCATCATGCCCAGACTCCACAGTCTGAGAGGGATGCTTGGTCCCTCCACATCCATCAAGCAGAGGCAAACTTAGGATGGCCCACAACTTTTCCAGACATTTCTAAAACCTCCACTTTGGGGACAAATCATAGCTTAGAGGACAATTGCTCTGCATGCAGCAATTTTTTATATGACAGAAGTCGAATGGAACAATGGGTCCTAATGCAGGATCCAGTCTAATCGCACAGTATTTTCTGAGAGCACATTCTGTGCAGAGAATTGTAGAAAATCATCACCTCAAATCTTAGAGGAAACCTAAGGATTGCTTCACTCAGTTCTCTTGTTTGAACAGTGGGTACACCATGACCAGAGCAGGGAATTGCCTCATTGGCCAGGCAGGTGCTCAGAAGAAAGATAGAATAAGAATCTGATTCCTGGCTGGCTATTCCAAGAACAGTCATCTCCCCCCAAAATTCAGCTTCCCAACCAAGATGCCTACCTGTTTTGCAGCGCAGTCCTGTGAGTGGTAGCGGGTCGGCCAGCTCTCTGTTGGGGAACTCTCAGCCAGAACTTCCTACTGGCCCTTCCTGCCAGAATGACCTTGCTCCTCTGCTCTCCAGCCTCTGAGACTTCCCGCCCCTTTCTCAGATCAGTAGTCATGATTACACAAGACATGGGCTCTGCTGTGCTTACATCCATGCATGAATTTATCTTGGCTTCCCCTTTCTAAGTTTCAAGTTCTGGAAGCTGGCGCAGAATGCAAGTAATGCACAAGAATAAAGAGCTTGTGAAGACTAGTGACTTACATGATCCTCGTTAGAATTCATTTCCCGCAGAGCCTTCCTGCCCCTTTCTCAGAGAAGTAGTTGTGATCACACAAGACATGAGCTTCCCTGTACTTACATCTATGCAGGGGAAGTACCTCTGCTTCCCCTTTCTAAGTTTTAAGGTCTGGAAACTGACACAGAATACAAGTAATGCACAAGAATAAAGAACTTGTGAAGACTAGTGACTTGCATGATCCCAGATGCAATTCATTTCCCCCATTCCTCTAGGCAAGTCAACTGGTTTAGCTTAGACCGAGTTTTCTGTCTACTAAGAGGGATGAGTAATAATGCTCCCACTGTTGGCTGTTGGGAGAACTAAAGAGCAAGGAAGCAAAGAGCTTACAAAGAACAGGCGCACAGTAACTAGGGATAGCAATGATGTTCATTTTGGATTTGGGGAAATTTATTTATTTTTCCATTTCCCAGGCTCTTGGCAAACTGAAAGCAACCTATGTGGACTTGCTGCCCAACTGTCACTGCTTTGGGTAGCTCTTTCTTCTCTTGGGTACTTCTTCTTCTCTGGCTTCATATCTTCCTAAGGACTCTGTGCTCAGGGAAGTCCAGGCACATTTGGGGAAGGATGCAATGAATGAGGGTCTGAAGCAGAGCCATCTGGGCTGCATGCCAGCTCGCATGGTGGGAAGTACAGGGTGTTGAGGAGACATTGTTGCCACCTTAACACACCTTTTAAAACTCCTTGGAGAACAGCCTCTGCTCAGGTGGCTCAGGGAAGTATGGCCTATAGCAATAGCTGGCAGCATAATATGCTCCATACTTTATCAATTTCCTGAAGATGCTTCCCTGAGAAAGGAGCAAATCTAAGCCGGGGGTGTTTAAGAAACTCATAAAATGCTTGGAGAGAATTTTAGTCCAATAGTCTATTCTCCAAATGAGGTGACAGTACTGAAAGAGCCTAACACAGATCACTCATCACGTCAGCAGAAGAAGTAGGACTAGAATCCAAGGCCTGGTGGCAGCTGGGTCCAGGTGTGCATCGGGGCCACAGTCTGTCATTTTGTCATCATCTTCATCCCCATGGCCAACATCATCATCATCATCATTGAGGAAAACTCTCATGGTCCAGACTTTCCTCTGGGTCTGCGACCTGCTTTGAACAAATTGTCAAAGAAGGATGTTGGTTGCTGGGCTTTCTCTTACACCTCTTCTGAGTCTGAGAAGGAATTTGTGGGAAAACCCATTTTCTCATATATAAAATGATAATAAAAATGTTTTCAGAATTTTTGTGAGGACTTAGTCATATGTTAAGTCATACATGTAAGTCTATATAACGTGCCCAGCATAAGTCTGACGTATATTAGAATTCAGAAAAATCTGTGTTCTTTTCCCAACACCTTCTCCAACCCCCTTTACAGAAAAGTGCATTTCATGTCTAGATTGATCTCTGGTCTCTATGTGTAGTTTTTCTACATTTACTCTATATTCCTGCTCCTGTGTATTGATTAGAATTTCCTCAGCCCTTCTCAGAGTCCTGGTGCTGTAGATGGCAAATGACTCACGGCTCTAAATTTGCTTCAAGGGTGAAAGTCTAGTGATTTCCCAATTTCCCACCTTCCTTGACCCAGACTGACCCTGAAGTTATTACATGAAGTATATCTCAGATCTACAATCTGGAACAGAGATGACTGAGATTTCTTTTCTCCAGAAACAGGAGATGCAGACTATTCAGGAGAGCATAGTTCATTGTATTCTTTGACATTTGAGCTCCTCCTTTCCCTCTTTCTGCTCAGATATCCATAATCAGTGTAGAATTTCATCCTCATGGAAGCTGCATGGTAGTAGCAAGTTGGGTGCTCCCCCATCAGGAGGCAAAAGGAAGATAACACAGAAGAAGGTTATCACCTAAACAGGAAATTGACCCATTTCCAAGAATCTTCAGCAAAATTTTTCTTAAGTCTCATTGGCCAGAACCATGTCGCATTGCCGTTTCCATCCACAAGGGGGGCTAGAAAATACTGTTTTTTAGCTATACTGGGCACCATTCCTGAATGAAATCACCATGGTTTTGTGAGAAAGATAGGGAGGCCCTACAATGAAGAAGCAAATTATCTTGCTACAATTAGTGTTGAATTGTGAGCTCATTTCTGTTGAAGTGTGTGCATTCATCTTGGTGAGCTGGATTCTGTCCATAGTTCACATAAGCTGGTTATGAACTCATTTGAAGATATAGCTGAAAATACCTGAAAAACTGTGAAATGACACATCTTGAGAAGATTTCTTTCCTATTTTCTTAAGCCAGACAGTAGCAGTGTAAGGGTATAAAATCATTTTACCATCACGTTGCAGATATCATTAAAATGCATTTGGAAGAATTTTATATTTCATTTTTAAACACACACCCACACCTATATTATATCAAATTTTAATGGCAGTTTGAAGACCAAAATTTCTTCACCATTTTTTTCCTATAATTTTGGCTAGCAATTAACTTTGAGTGTGAAAGGTAAATATTTCTAGGAAATAAATCAAAACTGAATATTGTGTCTTCTAACAACTGATTCAACCAACTGAAGCTGATAAATGATTATAAACTTTGAATGGCAGGACTTGTCCTAAACAACTCATTTTCCCCAGCCGGAGTGCTAGTTTTCAGTCTTTAATTTACATAACCATCATGAAACATCCTTCTTTTAAAAAAAAATATTTAAATTCAATTTGCCAGCTTATAGTCTAACACCCAATGCTCATCCCATCAAGTGCCCTCTTCAGTGCCCATCACCCAGTCACCCCTATCCCCTCCCCTTCTGCAGCCCTTTGTTCGTTTCCCAGAGTTAGGTGTCTCTCATGGTTTGTCTTCTTCTTTAATTGTTCCCCACTCAAGTTCCCCCTTCCTTTAAGGTCCCTTTCACTATTTCTTATATTTCATGTATGAGTGAAACCATATGATTATTGTCTTTCTATGATTGACTTATTTGACTCAGCATAACACCTCCCAATATGAAGCATCCTTCTTATAGTTGGAAAAAAACCTGACTTTCCTCACTCAGTGATTTCTTAATGAATTTCCTTTCCAGGTTGCTTCTTTACTGGGCACAGATAAAAACACATAAACTTAGTTTCTTTCTTCTTTCTTTCTTTCTTTCTTTCTTTCTTTCTTTTCTTCTTTCTTTCTTTCTTTCTTTCTTTTCTTCTTTCTTTCTTTTTCTTTCTTTCTTTCTTTCTTTTCTTCTTTCTTTCTTCTTTCTTTCTTTCTTTCTTTCTTTCTTTCTTTTTTCTTTCTTTCTTTTTTCTTTCTTTCTTTCTTTCTTTCTTTCTTTCTTTCTTTCTTTCTTTTTTCTTCTTTCTTTTTTTTTCTTTCTTTCTTTCTTTCTTTCTTTCTTTCTTTCTTTCTTTCTTTCTTTCTTTTTCTTTCTTTCTTTCCTTTCTTTCCTTTCTTTCTTCTTTCTTTCTTCCCTTTTTCCTTTCTGTTTGGTAGCTCTGATGACGTTTATTTTAATCTTATCTGATAAAATCTTTTTTTTAATTTTTATTTATTTATGATAGTCAGAGAGAGAGAGAGAGAGAGAGAGAGAGAGGCAGAGACATAAGCAGAGGGAGAAGCAGGCTCCATGCACCGGGAGCCCAACGTGGGATTTGATCCCGTGTCTCCAGGATCGCGCCCTGGGCCAAAGGCAGGCACTAAACCGCTGTGCCACCCAGGGATCCTGATAAAATCTTTATGAACCTTCTGGTTCCATACACATGTGATTTGAGATTCCTAATATTGGTTAAATTTTCATAAAGCTACCTTATTGATATGAAACGCCATTTTCAATTTAAGTAAGTGGTATTCAGACAAAATCCCTTCACCACTTAACCAGTTATAATCACACTAGTTTTTGCCATTAGTCAACAAGATTTATTGCTACAGATATTTGTTATTTGTTTAATATGCAGTGATTTTCATATAAAATCACATTTATTTGTGGTTGTTTTTATTGTAACAAATAATACCACATAAAAATGTACAGTGATGACATTTATTTTTTTAGTGCATTTATTAAGTAGAAAAAATGATTAGTTAAAATAGCTAAATTACAACTGGTTTAAACTCATGGTTCTTTAATCATAGAATTTGGGCATAGAGCACTTTTCCTAAGATGTGCACTTTATTTTTATTTTTTATTTTTTTTAAGATTTATTTATTTATTTATTTATTTATTTATTTATTTATTTATTTATTTATGTATTTATTATAGACACAGAGAGAGAGAGGCAGAGACACAGGAGGAGGAGGGAGAAGCAGGCTCCATGCTGGGAGCCCAACGTGGGACTCGATCCTGGGACCCCGGGGTCACGCCCTGGGCCAAAGGCAGGAGCTAAACCTCTGAGCCCCCAGGGATCCCCAAGATGTGCACTTTAAAAATCCCAATTCTTCTCTAAGGAACATCCCATGGTGTTAAGGAATTTAATAGCTCAATTTCTCAAGCAGGAGTGTATGCACTATGGAGAACACAAAAATTATATAGCACTTTTTCTCTTTGACTTTTCAAAGTCTTTGTAACTTGTACTTGAATAAGCAGGACTCACAGAATTCAAAGAAAACAACCTCATTCTTTCCCGCAACTGTCCTATCCAAGCATCCTCAGTAAGACTAGATATCCCCAGATTCTTATTTAAGATATGTTGCTTCCTGGGACTAGAGAGCTCTAGCCCCTTGAGGATTTAAAATGTTCTGTTTTACATAAGAATTAAATTCCAACTGTCATTTACTATGAAAGCTTCCCTCTCACTTGGTATGCAGTGATAGACAA